CATTACACTAGTGTCGGAGGGTAGCTTACTATAAAGTAGAGCCGTCTCAAATAAATAACGGTCGGTTAAATATGGAGCAGTTTTCTAAAATAGCAGTACCCTGGTCAAAGTATACCGTCATTTTAGGGTCAGAATATAGTCAAAGGAGAATAAGTTGCTTGAAAATCCGTCAGCTGTTGTTGCTGCAGAGGTGAACAGATAAGGGTATGAAAAATCAAGTACATCTGCTGCAAATTAAGAGCACTGGCGATAAACTTGAAAAGATCAGTAAAACGTACTCTCAGATCTATGTGAAAATAGTATTCCGAAATGAAAAATGGCTATCCCTCAATACTGCAGATGACGAAGTCATCCTGAAAGGCATGCACTCTCTCAATACGGCAGTGTACACAAAACAGGAGATGGAGTTGCGACATATATATTAACAGCTATTTAAAAGCAGTAACGTCACACAATACTCAACCGACCGACGTGATAGAATATTGCTGGCGTTGATTCAACGAGAATGGCACTAGGCGCCCTAGAGTAATAAAAGCAATATTGCGACTATTATTTTCGGGGTTTGACTGTACACTGTTAGCTTGAGATTTCAACACTTTATCACTAAATCTTAGCAAACAGGATACAATTCCAACAGTTTGGTGCTAAAATCTAATTGTTACTGCCATGAGGAGTTCCGGACTGACTTATAATGTGTTTAGCGTCACTAGAAGGAGTAGGGATCATGTATTAACAAACTATCAGCTCCTGATCGGGGATGTCCATTTCTTCACACTGATAGGAAGTAGCGATCATATCAGTCATACTTGACATGGTTTCAATGGAAATACGCAGGGGGATGAAAATGAGCCTTACCTCTGCAACACTAGGGAAAAAAATATATGTAAAAACATCTTCCTTAAGCACAATGACTAGGAGAACTGTGGTGACAAATAAAAGAGGATAACTCGCAGACAGTAGGAACCACCCCTGGATGTTCACAATATCGTCGCACCCTCTCGGATCGGGACGAGAGACTAAATGGTTGACCAGGACAACAAATAAAAATAAACAAATTCATAATTCAATACTTGAGATTATTCCCACTGACTTATGGGGGAATCAGGGGTGATCTGATAATGGCATACAACTTTGTATGTAGGCCGAATATCACCACCACACCCACGCCCAACACAAAACACAGGTACGTGCCCACTTTTCTCATTGAGAGTTGTCCATGTAGAAATATTTATTACTCTCGCAGTAAGCTCGGAATCCAAATAGGTGTAGGTTCACACGCGTCTCGCCCAGTCCAAGTCCAAAAATGATAAATCTGGGAAAGAACGGATCTGTTTTTAATCAAAAAGGGAAATACAGACAATTACCAAAACAATATTACACCTTCGAGTTTCTAATCAAAACATTAAGTTCCCATACTGGAAGAATAAGTGCTTCCAGATAATTGCAACGAGCTGCTGCTAGAGTATCGAATCCAAAAGTATCTGCAGCCATATTAAGTATCAATTTTAAACAACACATATATAGTTCAGAAGGAAACATAGAAACTTCAATATGAGTACAAGACACAGAAATAAATACAAGATACAAATGAAAAAATCCTAAAATGGGATCAAACAGAGTACCAAAATAACGGGCAGAAAGAGTCAGTCAGATCATAACACAAATAAATATACATGGAGGTGTTTTCCAAAAACAAGGCCTTCAAAATAGATTCTATAGACCCAACTTGGAATGCCCTCCTAGCTGAAGTGGTTACAGACCTCAAGAATAGACTTGTTAAACATGTGCCCAGAAACGGAATATCATCTCCCTCATGAACCAGCTGTCCGTGGTTCACGTCTCAACCATGCTATTTGTCATTTTATTCATATGCATAGATAATTAACTTATTATATCTTGCTTAATTTAACTTCTGTTTCCGCTTCTTTACTTGCAATCCTGTCTATTCACATCATTTGCACGGCCAGATAATTAAGTTATTCATTAATTAACATAGTTCTGAATTTTTCTTCCTCTCTCTAGCATTATAATTTTTTCTTATAATTCTCCACACTGCAACTGACTGATCTCTGACCTCGTTAAGTGATAGCTGCTGGGATCGAAAAACCCTACTACGCTGAATCAACAACACTGATTCAAATCATTGGACATACAAATCCATGAATATCTGCCAACTGACTAGAAGTAGTTCAGCCCAGTGGTTAAACTATCACCGATCGTAAACTATTATATACCTGAAACTGCGCAGAAAGAACAAGAATCGAGCACAAAGATGTCAGTTGGTTTAACTTAATTCATTCGGCTTTAAAAACACCCCTAGAATATAAGGGACCTCCTGGCTAAACGCTAACTAACAAAAGGCTGAAGTCGCATTCGCTGATGGAGGTGGGATACAGTTAGATCATATTCAGAGTGACACACAGCATACAGCAACTACCCCACTCCATTTTTCTCAACATAGAGAATATTCCACCTACTGTAATTCCATTAGAAGCGAAGAAAATTTGACTGAGCTTCAAATTGAACTCACATCTGTTGAGAAATGGGCCGTTAGGAAACGTTTAAAACTAAACCAGTCGAAATGTCACGTCATGTACATTTTCCCCACATGATGCATATGTATCACGCCCTCACTGGAAGTTAGCTCCCTAGTGTTTCTTCAGAGCGCGATCTCGGTTTGATTATCACTGGAAGACTCCACACTAGCTCGAACGCAGCCAAGGCATATGAAACTCTCCACTTTATGCGAAGACAAAATAGTTCCATCACCCCTGAATTATTCTTAGCTCTGTTTAAGACATGTACACGACCACACCTTCAGGTTCACAACATCATCGCATCCCCTCTGCTCGAAAGAGACATAAATCTCTTGGATCGAGTGCAGAGACCAGAAACAAAGTAGGTGATAGGGTTGAAGAATAAAACTTGCGACGATAGACTCCAGCATTTTGGACCATTCCCCGTAAATCACAGTAAAATTAAAGGTGATCTGATTATGGTGCACAACATATTAAGCACGCCAAATCATCCCATCTTACCGATGCATCACCACCACGCCCCTCCAGGCAATTTTCAAAAAATTGCATATCAAAGCACGAACACCTAGAAGCGTGCACACTTCTTTTCACTGAGAGTTGTTGCAACTTGGAATGCACTCTGAGCCGAGGTAACCACAGCCCCCTCAGGAGACAGGAGAGACTTGATAAACATGTACTCGCATATGGATTATCATCTCCCTTGTGGACAGGCTGTACCTGATGCATACCTCGAGATTTATCAGTCGTTACTATTGCCATCTTTTCAGATTACTAACTTAATCTATCTATCATTTCTGTTTGTCCTTACTTATTACACTTCGGTCCTCTCTCACAATCTTCACTACCAATTAATAAACTAAATTATCCGTATATTTTAACTTATTCTTGAAATCTTTTTCTTATTAGCATTAGAATTTTCCCATTATTATTCTCCAGATTGAAACCAAACGATCTCCGGTCCGGTAATGTGATAGCTGCTGATATCCAGAAACCCTACTTCCCTGAAACAAACGTTTCATTCAAATCACGTGACATACAATCTCACAATCAACTGCTCACCGACTATAGTACAGTCGAATCGCCAGAGCACCATACATTGGACGCTATCAAACATCGAAAGAACTAGAATTTAGCGCAAAGAAATCGATTGGTTTATACTAGCTGGTGAAAGAAATATTGGATTTTGGAACTCCTCAGCCTCACAGACTATCTGTGGACGCTGGTACGACAAGCACTGAGAACATTGATTTTCCATCAGGGGGAGCCCTGTTACGCATTCGGATCCACACACGTCCCCAGCTCACAAGGTAACTCCTGGCTTAACGCAAACTAACAAAAGGCTGAGGTTATAAATACCAGCTGGTGGAAGAGATATTGGATATTGGATGCCTTTTGACCTTGGTAACGATATGGTTGGGATGTGAAAAGGCTTTGACAAAGTACTGTCTATTCAATATATTGAATAAAAATACGCAAATGTTAGAGATACATTTTTAATAATATAAATACCAAACGTCACGCATTGATAAGTCTTCATTGTCTAGTTGGTATGGCAAAGTCACAAAAAAGTACCCCTTCGTACGATAGCTAACTTTTATCTGTTGTACAAGTAAAATATTCTTTTACCAATTGAGGGACAGATATATTTCAGAGTAGTTCGGTCTTTAATACTTTTTAGCTGTACAATATTATCTGAGGTTGTAGACGTACTTGTGTTGTGACTATTTGGTCCTACTTGCACTAATGGTTTATCGTCCCCCCCTATACATACCTTTGCATACATAGATTGTTCTCAAAGTTACCTAATAGGTAATTCCTAGACTTCCGGTCACTAAGTTCCCGGTTCAAACCATACTGCTCGCTTCGGTTCGGTCAAGTGGGTAGTATCGTTTCCCTCACAGTGTGACCTATGCTCAAGTACCTGGCAGATGAGTTTCTGTATTATTTTAGACTGTCAGCGGTAGCTAGTTTAATTGATTTCTGGTATTTTAAACGTAAGGGTGGTTCGGATCTCATCTTCGTCCAATCCATTGCCATACATTGGTTTAGAAGCTTAAATGTTTGTATACTTGGCTTTCAGTCGGTAAATTATAAGTTTTAGTCGCATTCCACTTATTTCGATCAATAAACCAAGTATTGTCAATACAAATAACAATGTGTATCAAAGTTGACGACACAAACACGTAACTGACTAATGAGTTATAGATGAGTCTCTTGTCGTGGTTCATATTAATAAGCCATAAAGTTTGAACGCTGGTCACATCTTACCGCCCATTTGTCAGTTATATTACCAGTTTATCCACGCTCTCCAATCGCAATTAAAGACTTATGGTTTTTGAATGATATAAGACGGGAGCTTGATTTAAAACTAAACTGAATTTCTCGGGAATTAAATGCTCACCTTTATTCGGGGACTATTTTCAGATTTCGCTTCATACATGGTTGAGTAGATTATATTGTGGTTGCAAAATTATATAATAATAATTTGCTGCTAATGTTTTTTATTCTTATTTTAGAACTGGCAAAAGACATCTGTTATGACTTATTCTTTTTTGGGCTAATGTGAATAGGAAAAGGATACATACTATAAGTTTGGAAATAGACACTAAAATGTACTCGTTCGAAGGGAATTACAAGTCAAAGCGATCATTAGTGCTTGATCATACTCAGAAGGTAATGTTTCATTTATTTTAACAATCACTGCTTTCGCGGACTGATTAACTCGTTTTATTTCATAGAATCGTTATCATTCGGTTACACACTTTAAGATGTATTCTTTGTATATGAATAAACGTAACTTATCTATAGAATACAATCCTGTCTAGTTCATATTTTGTAAACGAAAATTCGGCAACATAACACTTAAAGTACCGGTAGTAATAATAGGAGTAATGCTTCAGTTGGGGAATAGGAAAATGTATGAAATATCGAAACTTAATTCAGAGGGCACCAACTTGAAAATGTTTTGGAGTGTTGTTAAGAAGGAGGTTTTGAGTTTGTGGTGAACAGGTTTTAAATTGCTGAATGAATGAACAGAATGTTGGTCCAATATTAATGCAAGATAATTTAATGGGACTGATTAATAACTGCTCACTGAACTAAGCCATAGTTGGATTCATATCAAAGGGCGAGACAACTAACCAACACAGTTTGTCTTTTCTTTAGTGACATAATACATTTATGTACAAAATACCAAATACAAGAGTAAATATAGTTAAATACTGAAGTAATTGGAAGACATGAATTTTATAAGCTACTCATTTGGCAATTAATTAAATCCAGATTGTGAGTTTCAATTCTTACGCATCGTATTAATCTCTCAGTAATTAGCAGTCTAAAAACCACCACCTTTCACACAAAGTATTTATGATGTTTTGTTTCATAACAATGGCAGATTGCTCAAGTATACTGATCTTAAATTCAACTAGTGGGTGAATAGCATTGCTTAAAGAACCGGTTTCAATCTCTTGATATATGTTAGGCAATTCGACTATTGTAAATTCACCCTGTTATTTCAATATATTTGCTGCAACACAAACCGATAAATCTGCTTGAAGGCAACAAATCCCAAATATCATGGTACAGATGAGAGTGGGGATAGTCCACTTTCTCTCGAAATGCTCTCATATGGTCATGAGTATATAGCCACTGACAAGGAAATCTTACTCACTACCTTCTCTTTCAGCAGAGATGTTGTTTACAAAATTGGTCGGACGAGAATTGAATGCCTGACACTTAAACCGGGTGCGTATATACCGATAACCCGACCCAAGGGAACTGGAAAATTCCGATTCCAATGCGATCGTACACATGGACTCCAAGATCCTGATGAAACGAATGGCTTATGAACCTGTTGTCATCTGGCTACCATGGGACTACATCTCCTAACGTTGCTCCACTGATTTGTGGATTGGACTTGTGAGTCAAAGGCTCGGGGGTGGCCTCCTGAGAAAACCACTTGCTTCAGTTTGGGCGTGCAGGCAGTATCCTACACCATTCACACATTCAATAATTTGTATGGCGTATAAATATTTAGGTGCCCGTTTGTGTCACTAATTGTGTTGAAATCAAATACCATAGCCTTATTTAATTTTGACTCTGTAACTGAGCGCTTTAACAGCTAGATAAGCTTCAGTTATTTCACTTGCGCTCTATCTATTAATTTTATTCGCGATTCGGGCCCATTCGATATCAAACTTCATGATGTGAGGCTTTGATGTATGGTTGAGAGATTCATCCTTCAGCTACTATGTCCCCGGTTCGACATACACTACATTTTTACCTTATTGTGATTAATAACCGGATATGTGATTTGTTAGACTTCATTGAGTCGCTGTTGTTTACAATTTATTTTTGCGAAATAAATGAATTATTTTGAATAACTTGTAAACTGTTTAATGGTAAAAGGACCCGTAGGTCCCTAGTATTTGGTTGTACATGTCCTCGAAACAATACAGGCGTAGAATGGGACCATAAAGTAACTTATGCCTAGATTCAGCTTAAGATTAGGTTAACATGATGAAACATTATATGAGGTATTGCTCCTTCAAGTGGTCATCCTGGACATATGTCGTATTTCTCGGTCACCACTTACTCCGACTTCAAATGGTAACTACTTCAGAAGCAAGTTGGAGAAATACTAGAGGTGGATTAACCGAGATTGAAAATCAGTTCACGAAGGCACAGATTGTTAAACCAGTCTGTGTCAGTGAGTGAGGACTTTCCAGTTAGTATCTGCAACGTACTCAGGAATGGATGGTGGTCCTGCATCACCACAAATAGACTGAATTTAAGAATGCGAACCGTCGGATGCTTATTAAGTGATATGAAGCTTAAGTGCTCATCGTGAGACATGAAGGCCTTGTTTTCGATTCCAGGTGGGATTGTAGATATACGCTTGTTAGTAGTCCTATACTGTAACATGTCCAGTGCCCCTTGGTTTTCATCTCCCTTATTTGGCGTGTCAACTCGGGCTGATACTCATTTGTACTAGTTTCTGTGTTACTTATGATTGACTCAATAACTGAAACTGTTGTTTTCTAGCTCTCAGCATCTTCGCTACAGTCATAGGTAATGCTAAACTAGGCGATTATATACATTGGTCCAAGTTGTCACATCATATCACATCGAGATGAAATTATCAAGATAAATGTGAGAGTAGTGAAAGTAATACCATTATCTATAATAGTGGGAAACGCTAGGCGTAGAAAATATGATTCAAGAAGAGTAAAGGATGAATCCGCTGAATATTAGTTCAAAATAGTTCTAAGACTGAAAACCGAGTGAAAAACGGAATAAATTCACCAGCTGCAACGCGAATGATTCTGAGCTCTGTCATTCAACGTCTTTAGAGACATTGTTTATGATGATGATCGCACGGATCTCAATCGTGTGGTCTGCATTTACTAACATGGCTCACTCTGATAGTCAATGACTATATGAATTGATGCCAAGTTTTGGTCTATGGCTTTTAACCCACTTCTGTACCAGAAAACATTTCTTGTCGAGGTTAGTGGTGTTTAAGCATATGTAATACCATATCCTAACCATCTCAGTCTATGAAAGTTAGCCAATTCATAAACAGATTCACCATCTTCAAGTAGCACCATGTGTATAAGCATTGATCACTCATTGGTTTTAAACATACACAGAAGGATTACTTCGAGAGGATCTGTGATAATGTACTAATAAGTTGAGATTGACCACATCTATTAGCCGCAAACTATGACAAGAAAATTCAGCATTTGTTTTTGATTTTTAATGGCATACTTATGATTTCCCGACCGTAGCTTCCACCTTGACGTGGCGGTCGGGCTTGCCCATCGTGATGACCCAACCGAGCTGTATTGGCTGGTACATATTTTCCTTTGGGTCTTATCATACCAGGCAAGTAGATTAAAGAACAATGAGACTAAAAGCAACAACTCAAGGTCTGAGGACAAAGTTGTAATGTTGGTTGTAGAGGAGTGTGACAGCAGTAAGGTGTTTTACTCGGACAACCAGTATCTGCAGCGATGCTGCGTTCTCACAACGAAAGGAAGGGGTTAGAAAAGGTCTACAGCAAAAGATGTAACAACTAACCTTACCTCCGATGATAGGGCATTCCGATAAAAGGGACTTGTGTGACCAGCTTCAATCAGTTGTCCCTTTGGCTTTGCGGTCACACTCCCAGGTCACTGAGACCAAGGTTAATCCAACTTACTGGTTACTGAAGAAACACCCACGGTGTGGGCAGCTGGGAAGTGACATCCACCCTCATACTCGAGATCAGCTTGGTCACAATCAAATCTTTCCTTATCAAAGATTAACTGAATTAAATCCGTGACACTTCGTATTTTAATTATTCTGTTATTTTTTTTATCTGATCAGTCTTTTTTCTCCCTACATGCTTTCATAGTTATCAACGAATGCACTTGTTCAAAAAACACGTGAAGAACGAAGGTTACGTGAAGTAAGTATCATAGAATATGGCATACAAATTATTTGTTTATAATTATTTTGTTTGTATGCTAATAGAAGTTTATTTTAAAGTAAAAAAAGATTTTTCTTAGCATAAATGTATTGTGATGGATAACAGTGCAATTCAGGTTGCGCGTTTCATCCTATGTGCAACTCATCAGCTGGATGTATCTGAATCCCACAGTTGCCGTTCAATCTGCAATCCACTACTAGCCATCATTTATCTATGCCAAAATAATATTTGTGATCTAACGGTCAAATTGAGACAATCCATAACAAGCTACACATATATATATATATGCCAATCAAACAGATCCATTGTAGTCTTAAACATCAATGGGAGGGTTCACAAAATAGAGTACCTTGAATAAACAGTAAAACTAGATCTAAAATAATGACTTTTTACGTAAATCTTATACTATTAAAAAACTACCGATGTATTATCTAGTTGCTTAAATGAACTAGTTTTAATGAAATTATCAACTAGGAATCTGAACTATTATGTAACTGAAGAGTTTTATACTATTTGTTTGAAGACATTAACTAAAATGATTAAAACGACACGAACTTGTCCCATTCTTCACTCTTATTCTTCTTGTTGATTTGAAGAGATTTTCATTTTTTTCAAAAATTTTAGTAGTGATGCTCATTAACCTGAATCTACCTACATTGTGCTGTTGATATTTCCACTTGAACTCAATCTAATTAGTCATTGTTTCACAGTTCAAAACATTAACCACTAAACTCTCGTAGTTAGATCATTCACCATCACTTGTCCAGCGGTTATTAAATATGACTTTTATTGTCAGTATTTAAAGTTTTGTTTCATTCATCATGAGATCGAACCGTCAGATTTCTTCTTTTTTCCCAGAACATTACTTCAACTATACCAAGGGCAAAAATTTATGGCATATAATCTGTTTTAGCGTTTCTCTTAATCTCAGTTTTTTTACTTATTTGAATAAGAAATGATGCTTCTGATTGTTTTTCATTAAAATCATGAATTGATCATTGTTAGACCATCATTAGAAACCTACAAGCAATGGACTGCCGGTTCGTCCTCGTACGAGACTTCCCAGCAGTGCGCATCCGTGACCCCTGCTTTCGCAAATTGAACCCAGGACCTTCGGTCTTGCGCACGAACGATTAACCCCTAGACGAGCCCTGTCGGATATAGGCAGTAACTACCGAATGCAATGAGTGGGCTGGCACAAAACCCTAGACATTAACACCATTGGATACTACCCACTCAGTGGTCTAGAAGTTAAGCGTTTGCGCACAAAACCAGAAGTCCTGGGTCCTCAAAAAACATCAATCCCCATAACTCTATACTAAATCCTATTTGTTTTACATCAAGTATTTGTGGGCTACGTATCGATTTGATGAAAATAACAACTTTGGAATAGTAGTATTGTAGTTTAACAACAACACAATGGTTTGAGACACTTGATTTTGAATTTCTCTTTAAAATAATTTTATATTATTTTTTTTTCATGAAATAAATTGGTGATTATTTTACAACTTTATCATATACTTTGTATTATTCATTTAGAAAATGATCAAACAAGAAAGTGCCATTATTAAAATTCAAGCATATATTCGAAGTTATATTGTACAAAATAAAATGGTAAGATTTAAAACTTTCATTGATTATTTATTAAATGATCAATTAATATCATCAAGTCAGTCAACTACAACGTAGAACTTACTACATACGTGCATCAGTTCAAGTTGCCATACCACGCTAGCACACAGAAATCGAATTGTCAAGTCAAACTCCATAGTAGTAGAGATAGTGAGAGTATTAGCAGTAATGGAGAAGATTAGGGTTCGAAGATATCATTCAAAAAGTATAATTCAGTGAAATAAACTTAAAGAGAGAGAAAAAAGTTATAGAGAGTTCATATCATAATTTGAGAGAAGACAAACAATGGATGCACCTGCGCAATCGTGAACGATTTTGAGCCATTTCATTCAAAGTCTCTAACCATCGGTTACCATTGTCTCGCGGACTCCTACCAGGTAGTCTACACCTAACATTATGGCTCTGTCTAGTTGTTAGTGACTTCATGGACTCATTCCATGTTTTAGTTTGGTCATCCTTTGCTTTCTTCCAGCATACGTAACTCATGTTCCAACCACCTCAACGGATGATGATTCACTACTTCATCAAGTGATTTGCTATCCTTACCTAGTACCCTTTTCATAACTCCAGCATTGCTCACGTCGTGATCAAAGGGTATACGAACAATGCTTCGAAGACACTTATGGTCGAATACTAGCAACCTACGAATATCCTCTATTCCTATTGTTCATGTTTCACATTTGTAAAGTAGGATAGAGCGAAGTGCTGTGCAGTGGACTGGTCCTTTGGTAATAGACGGATATCTCGCCTACGCAACAAATGAAGTAAGTTGGTGAAAGCTAGTCGAGCCTTCTGTAACTGTGCCTCCATTTCGTCATTCGCCAGGCCATCAGCACTTATGAGACTCCCGAGATAAGTGAAGCGGTCAACACCGTTAATTACTTCACTCCTTATCACTAGTTCAGATGTCGATGCATGTCAATCCTGAAGCAACATTTTGCGTTTAAAGGAGGAGAAACGCATCCCGAACATGCCTGCATAGTTGATTTAGGTGCCGTGAAAAGGAAGTTGGGTCAGGGTCGGTCATTTGATAACCATCAGAAATGTCCTAAAGGACGAATCCATATCATCGGTCAAGAAATGGCTTCCTTTTCTAATGAAGTGGTATATATATCGACGAGTAGTTGTACGTTATATTCGGTAGCCAAATTGACTTTCTCTTCTGCTCTAACTTTCTCTCGAGTAATCAGTTTGGGTAGTTAACACGTAGCACATTCAGATCTGGGGAACCGCACATTACAACTATATCATTTCATGGAATGTTGACTTTCAACAACAAGCAGTTCTCTAATCTTAAAGTGGATCCCTTCACTTCTGCCAGAGCGAAACATGGCACAAATCCATGAAGTCACTCACAACTGGACTGAGCAATGTTAGTAGATGTAGACGATTTAGTTGGGATCCTCGAGACAGTAGTAACCGATGGTTAGAGACTTTGAATGACGTGGTTCAAAATCGTTTACAATCGTGCAGGTGCATCCATTGTTTGTCTTGTCTCAGATTTTTATCTTCTGAACTCCTCATGACCTTTTTTTTAGAATTTATTTCGTGCGGATAAACGTCTCGCATCAAGATCTTCGAATCCTAATCTTTTCAATTATCGCTTATACTTCAACTACATCTACTACTATTGGATTAGAGTTGACACTTGCATCTCTGTGTTATTGTGGTATAGCAGCCTGAACTGTTGTTCATACGTATCAAGTTTCTACGTTGCAACTGACTGACCATCAGATAGATACATTAGCTTATTTAACTGAGTTCTATTCATAACTTTCACATAAAAAAGGGCGTCGTTCAACGATGAAATTTATTTTGAAAGAGTGACATTGCATTTTATCAAATTTATATTTCATAGACATTAGTTTGTTAACCTGCATTGGCACCTCAATTAGTGATAGAGAACGACGTAGTTGAGTGTGTTGACTACTTTATTTATCCTAGCAGTTGCATCAGTCCTGATGGCCTGGTGTGTGACGAAACCTCAACACGGTTACAGAAGGCTCGAATAGCTTTTACCAGCCTACGTTACTTCTGGCGTAAGTGAGATATCCGTCTGCTAACCAAACTACAAGTCTACTGTGCAGGCGTTCGCTTCTTCGTACTCTATGAGTGTGAAACATGGCCAGTAAGAGTAGAGGATATTCATAGGTTGCTGGATTTCGATCATAGGTGTCTTAGAAGCAACTTGAACTGTACGTACCAAGTTCTATATATTGTAGCTAACTTACTGAGTTGTTTGTTGACTAGTTTTAATTTCCTGTAACAATATTTATCTTCAGTTTTACTATTTTCTTCAACTCTCTCTCTCTCTCTCTCTCTCTGTGTTTCTCACTGATTGAAATTTTTTTTAAAATTTTCTAGAAACGTTATTTTATTGGATTATTTAATGAATTATCGAATCAATTAGATCATGCCATGATGAATAAATCTATTGTCAATATGGAACAACATGAATATGAATGTAAATTATTGAGATTACTACAGTCTTTCAATATATGCTATCGTGGTAAAAATGTCAACCAAGAACATCTTGTAAGTAATTGTTGTTGGTTATTTGAAAAAAAAGAAGTTAGATGTGGATTGGGTTGAAAGAGGCTAATACTTATTACTTACTTACTTACGCCTGTTACCCCCAATGGAGCATAGGCCGCTCACTAGTTTTCTCCAACCAACTCTGTCCTGGGCTTCCGTCTCCAGTTCTGTCCAATTTTTGTTCATTCCTCTCATATCTTTCTCTATTTCTCGGCGTAGTGTATTCCTTGGCCTTCTTGCTCTTTTCCTTTTGCCTTGAGGGTTCCATGTGAGTGCTTGTCTCGTGACGCATTTGGGTGCTTTTCGTAGTGTATGTCCTATCCGCTTCCACTGCTTCTTCCTGATTTCCTCCTCCACTGGAATCTGGTGTATATATAACTCAATTATTAATGTACGCGATCATGTTAGCCAGCTAGCTATGAATCCTCTAAAAACTAAACTAGATTCATCGAAAGCAATATCTGAACTATAATGGTCGGAAGTTGATTTCATTGAATAGTAAGCTAATGCGGTTGTTAGTGATGATAGTAGAGGATGAAGCTTGTCACTGCTTGATTGATCTGATCACGTCATGCAAGGATACATATTCTTGAGAAATCTTAGAAGAAGATAAGCTTAGTAATGTTGTTGATAGTTTTGGAGAGTGCCAACATAGCTGCTTAACAGGCAACTATTAGATACAGGTAACATACATTAATTTTTAGCTATTAGTTCTCTTGATTTAAAGGCCTTGCTAACTGTTATGCACGTTAGTTGATATGTTTGAACTATTACGAGTTCACCTTCGTCGGTAAACGAAAGAGAAGACAATTCATCCACACTAAGTAGAAGAGGAAGTTTTGATATGGAGTAGAAAGTGTATTCTACAAGTACCCAGAAAATCGAGGTTTTGTACAGAAGCGGAAGAAGAGCATAAAACTTAACAGACAATGCATATTTACACAGTTGGGTCGACTGTGAATACTAACCAATAGGAAAAAAACATTTAAAAGTATATGGAATTGATTGTTTAGGACGACCTTAAATATTGACCAATAGAATTAGACTCACAAAATAATTTCTTTAGGATATATGATGATATCCTAACACCAATACTGACAGAAATCCTTAGGGTAAAATATACAGTGTACTATTTTCAGGGTGTACCTTTTTTAAGCTCTTCTTCTTTTATGGGAAGGTAACATTTGTGCAGATATTGATTGTTTAAAAGAAATAAATACCCTAATATCTTCACATCTCAGTACAGTTGGTGTTTGTAATTTAACTGCTTTTAATGTTATCGCTCTTCAACCAATTTACCTCGTATGATAGAACCTAAATGAAAGAATTTCCTAGCGAATATTAGCTTGACCGATTCATTTTTGTATCATATCGAGTTATCAAACACGGTCGATACCACAAAAAGTCATTAAATCCAGTGGACATTTTAACTTCAGTGCTTAGTAAACAAAATCTGCTCAAATCCCTTAATGGGTGATCTATTTTTTCTAATTATAAGCGTAATATCATATATTTGGCTTACTCAGATGGTATATGATTCATGTACTTTTAAAAATGTCTTGAAATCTTTGACTTGGTTAATTATTTTCAAAATTCAAGTGAAACTAACATACAATTCACAATAAATAAATAAATTTACCTTCGATGGGCAAGGCTGGTTTTACGTTGGTTTTCAGGAGAACCAGACACTGTCCATGTGGTTGACACTACAACCTGTAAATAGTACAGCTCAATCCTGTAGCGCAACCACCATTTAGGTATCTGACACTATGGTGTACATCAATACATATAATGATTATTTCCAATCCATGATCGCGTCGACAATCAAGATGCACAGCATGAACAAATGAATTTGACACATTGCGCTTACATGACTGTCAAACTCATTATAATTAGCAGTGATCATATACATTACAGTTTTCCAGTGACAATGTTGCAAAACAATCACTGCAGGTATCAATGAAGTCGGTTACCCTGCATACCAAATTTGTGTATGGACTTGCCAAAATGATGCCGAATCATTCACAATGTTCATTACAACGAACCCTTGGTCTCATAGGAAACCTTCAGTTCTATATATAGTAATATAGCTAATAGCATAGGGTAGTGAGAGATGCAGCCCAGCTTGAAGCAAATGGGCTTAAACACACTTAATATTTTTTTTGTCTCATGTCGGGACACGTTTTTATTGCAATAGCGCGAGATTTTCAATTGTTCCGACCATATGAGATCTGAGTTAGGGGGTAGTATCTCTGAAACTATCATAGTGGTCGGTTTATTTTCTAGCTTTTTTCTCTTATAAACAAATAATCAGAGAACACATTTGAGCAAGCAATACGTGCGAAGGACTATGAAAAGTGATACTCTATACCTACTGGTTTAGCCCAATACCATAATTAGCTCCGAATGCGATGTAAGAACACACATGTTCAATGATCACCACTAGTTCAAAATTCTGTTGCTATATTTCAGACATTCCTTGATATACCCATACAAAACCCGATCTCACCATATCAGTAAATAGAAGATAACAATGATACATGAAAAAGTCAAAAGTGGATATGAATAAGAGAGACTGTAAATAAATAATAAAAACTGTCAAGAAAATTAGGAATAGTGTAGTTTCGTATGATAATAGACGACTATATGAGTCAATGGGAAAGCTGATGATAGAAGTAATATGATATAAACCGGATAATCTCATCACCATGTACAGTGATAATCCCCGAATCTATTCTCCAAGTTACTATCTGCTTTAATCGATTGAGATGGTGAAGAGCCCAACCGAAGCTGCTACCTTGACGTGGTGGTCGGGCTTGCCTATCGTGATGACCCAACCGAGCTATACTGGCTGGAACATATGTTCCTGCAGGTCCTACCATGCCAGGCTGGTCGATTGGAGAACGATGAGACTAAAAGCAGCTACTCAAGGTCTGAGGGCGAAGTCGTACTGCTGACTGCAGAGGGGTGTGACAGCAGTAAGGTGTTTCCCTCGGACAACCAGCATCTGCAGCGATGCTGCCTTCTCACAAGGAAGGAAGGGTTGGAAAAGGTCGACCCTAAAAATGTCACACCTCCCCTAACTGACGGATTTCCGTCTCCTTGGGTAAGGGTGCCCACTAAGGGCCTTTAAGAACGGAGCTAATCCTCTAAAAACGTTTCATAAAAAGGCCGTGCGTGACCGGCCTCAATCAGTTGTCCCTTGGGCTCTGCGGTCACGCACCCAGGTCTCTAAGACCAACACTAATCTATCTTCCTTTTCAGGTCCCTCAAGAAACAACCTTCCACGGTGTGGGCTGCCGGGAAGTGATAACCGCCCTCATACCCGATGATGAAGAAAATAATTTTTAGCTTAGGTAGAGGCTGATTATAGTGTGGTATTTCATTCTCCAAGCTGAATGTGGTGTGGTTGCGGAGATTCAGAACACCATCATCAGTACAAACTTCAATCTATGAAATAGTATATAATGCTCATTTCGACTATCCTTTTTTTATATCTGCAATAATCCTATCATGTACACATTTTATTATTCGTATATACTTGTCATATTTATGAAATTATTTATTATTATTAACATTATTTCTGTATGTTTTATTTTTCATAGTTGATTGTTTGTCGTTTACTATTATCTAAACATGGAAAAAGTATTCAAATCAAATGGTTGACTAATGGTTCCATTGATAATATTTTCACGTTAGCAAATTCATTATCAATCATTGTGAAGTAAGTTAATGTCTTATCTTTTTCTATGAGATATTCTTGTTTTTTTTTCTTTTTCGCAAAGCTTTTAGTCTTATCATTCTCCAATAGAACTGCCTGGTATGGTAAGACGACCTAAAGGAACATCACATGTCTGTCTCTGTTAATACAGCTCGGTTGGGTGATCACGGCAAGCAAGCCCCGACCACTAACGTCAAGGTAACAGTTACGGTCGGAATCGTATCTTTCGAACAAAGTGTTAGCTATCCAGATTCAATAGCTTAATCTACAGGAGGTACTCGGTTCAGTTCTGTGTGTCAACATAAACACTGGGATATCCATACATCCATCTTGTGGGACAAGATGCACTTAATCGATTCAATTTCTAGACATTTTCCTAAGTCTATCTTTTATTTGAAACATCTACAGCTGGGGTACTTATACGTATAATTTCTTTTTCATCTACACCGTTTTCTAGTATACGAACTAATACCCAGGTACATCCTATTACGCCTGCACGTAAACACGTCAACTTGATATACTTGAACTATTACGAGTTTACCTAGTCGGAAAACGAGAGCGAGGATCGAGGATCCGGCGACACGTCATGCTACTCAAATCCGATTATCCCAACCCCCATATTTAGTGAAAAGAAGACAAGACTTGATATGAAGTAGAAGCTGTATTCGACAAGCATCCAGAAAGTACGAGGTTCGAGTCCAGATGAGAATCAGGATCCCGGACCAGGGATCCGGGACCGGGTCCTGGTTGTGGTCATAAAACGTTTCAGATAATGCGTATTTATACATTTTGGTCGAATAGGAAATAGCATCGAATTCTGTGACATTGACAATTAGGACGACCAATAGGAAGCAACATTTGAAGTGACATTGATAGTCAGGACAACCAATAATAAACAGCATTGGAGCACGTGACATTGATATCTAGGACGACCATAAAATTTACCAGTAGGAATTAACCAATAGGAGTAGACCAATAATTCTCTTAGGATATTGAATGAATATCCTAACAATCCAGTTGATGAATCTCAAATGGGACGAAATACTCGTCCTGAATATATATATATATATATGTATATATATATATATATATATATTACATAATTTCATTTCTGTACTGTAAAATATCGAGATCTGTTTTGTTTGGCGCATTCTTTGTTGCCTTTTGTTTTAGATATTTATCAAAACTGTCATCATCAACAAAATCATCTGATTACGCGTTACCGATCCGTGTATTAGAAGAATTGTTCACAATCTCAACGGGGACATCTACTACAATCTCTTTATATTCAAAACAACTAAGCTTCAATATTGCATGGATTTGTCAATATCTAACAAGGCATCATTATTTTAATCAATTCGCTTATTTTATTGATCAACAACTGCCATCCACAGCTGGTTACCTACAGGATCCCACTACTCAGTCACATGTATTTGATCCTGTGGAATTTTTGAAAGTACCTAAAGTTCAAGATTTCATTAATTTGTTAATGGGACCGTTAAAATGTGTATTGAATTTATCAGAGAATGGAAGTCAAGTTTCTGTGAGTGATCCAATTTTTTTTCCATTAGAATATTTGTTGACATGTAAATTGATTGATTGATTAGGTATTCTGTAACAATGTGTTAAAATCATTATGTATGTTGGTATTATAAGTGTGAATCGGTTCTTTTTTACTGCATCGGGAATAAGGGCTAAATGTGCTTAAAGAAAAAAAGCAATACTGTATTCTGAAATAGGCTTTCCCTTTTGTACCATGAATGTACGATTTCATTCTTGCGCTCACATGCCGTGTTCTCCATTCTCTGGTATTCACGCACATCCTTTTAATTGGAAGGTTTTGAAGTGTTAGCTCCACTATTCAAAAGTCGTTACTACCGGAGACGGAAAGCCGTGAGATGAGCTTATGTGTGACGTTTGTAGGGTCGACCTTTTCTAACCCCTTCGTTCCTTGTGAGAAGTCAGCATCACCACAGATGCTGGTTGTCTGAGGGAAACACCTTACTGCTGTCACACCTCTCTACAGTTAGCAGTACGACTGCGCCCTCAGACCTTGTGTTGGTACTTTTAGTCTTATCATTCTCCAACCCATCTGCCTGATTATGGTGGGAACTAAAAGGAACATATGTTGAAGTCAATATAGCTCCGTTGAGTGATCACGACAGGCAAGCAATGTTGCCGTTAGGAAACGATTTCTAGGTAGGGACGGCAAATCAATAGATGAAGTAGTGAACCTTCATCAGTTGAGGTGGTTGGGACATGTGTTACGTATGGCTAACCACCGACTGCCGCGATGAGCTTTGTTTTGCAGTGTAGGAGTAGATTGGAAGAAAGCTAGGGGCGGCCAAACCAAAACACGGCAGAAATGCATGAAGTCACTGACAAGTGGACTGAGTCATGTTAGTAGATGTAGGCTACCTGGTTGGGGTCTGCGAGGCGATAGTCATCGATGGTTAGAGACCTTGAACTACATGGCTCAGAATCGTTTGCAATGGTGCAGGTGCATCCACTCTTTGTTCTCTCTAATTCTAACCTGAATTCCTCATAATCTCTATCTTTCTCCTTCTAAATTTATCTCACTGAATTATACTTTACGAATCATATCTTCGCTCCCTAATCTTCTCCATTACTGCTATTACTTCTGTTATTGCTATCACTCTTGGATTTGAACTGACAGTTGCGTCTCTGTGCTGATGGGGCATGGCAACCTCAACTGATGTACTTCTGTACGAAGTTCTGCGTTGTATCTGTCTGTCTGTCTATCTGTCTGTCACGACAGGCAAGCTCGATCACCACCACATCAAGGTAACAGCTACGGTTAGGACTCTTCAAACATAATGTATTTTCGTGTAATTTAATCAAAACATGATACCATTTTATTTGATCGTATATTTTTCTCTTTATTTAATTATTATTACTATTATTATTATTATTATTTAGAGTACCATGATTGATTTTTATCAAGAACTTGTTATTACTGCAATCAATGATATCCTTATATCAACTGTGAATAATACCAGTAATAATAATAATAATCGAATAATCAGTGAACGTCTTACACATAGTATTAGCATAGAATTATTTCAATTACCTAAAATACATCAAATTATTATGAATGCATGTTTAACATCGGTAAAAAATAAAAATAACCAATTGAATATTGAACAACAACAACAACAGAAACAATCTAATGAATATGTGACATTGATTCCTTCGATCAGTAAGTACATTCATTCTTTTCTCTCGCTTTTTAACATACTAATTAATCTCAATGTTATCCATTTTGTAATGGGTATAAATATATATATTGTTTTTCTTTTTGATGTGGTGGTTGGTTGATGCCAATCAGAAGTAGTCGAACGAGACTGACTGACGAAATCTCAGCTCGGATACAGAAGGCTCGATTAGCTTTTGCCAACCTGCATCATTTATGGCGTAGGCGTGATATCTGTTTGCTAACCAAAGGACGAGTGTACTGCGCAGCGGTTCACCCCGTTCTCCTATATGGCTGTGAAACATGGCCGTTAAGAGTAGATGTTCGTATGTTACTAGTATTCGATCATAGATGTTTAAGAAGCATTGCTCGTATATCGTGGGACAACCGAGTAAGCAATGCTGTCGTTAGGAAACGGGTGCTAAGTAAGGATGGCAGATCAATTGATGAAGTAAAGAAACTTCATCAGTTGAGGTGGTTTGGACATGTGTTACGTATGGCTAACCACCGACTGCCTCGACGAGCTATGTTTTGTGGTGTAGGTTGGAAGAAAGCTAGGGGCGGCCAGACCAAAACATGGCACAAATCCATGAAGTCTCTGACTAGTGGACTGAGTCATGTTAGTAGATGTAGGCTACCTGGTTGGGGTCCGTTAAACGAAAGTCACCAATGGTTAGAGACCTTGAATGACATGGTTCAAAATCGTTTGCAATGGCTCAGGTGCATCCACTCTTTTTGTGCTTTTTAATTCTAACCTTCTGCATTCCTCCTAATCTCTATCTTTCTCCTTCTAAATTTATCTCACTGAATTATACTTCTTGAATAATATCTTCGAACCCTAGTCTTCTTCATTACCATTAATACCTCTACTATCTTTATCACTATGGGATTTGATTTGACATTTGCGTCTCTGTGCTAATGTGGTATGGCAACATGAACTTATGTACATACGTACGAAGTTCTACGTTGCAGCTGACTGATTGACTGACTGAACGAGAAAGTGACTTGTTGATAATGAGCGCATATCTATCATTGGTCAGGAAATGGATTCCTTTTTCTATGCGGTAGCCAAATAGACTTTCTTCTTCACCATTGTCTTCTCGTTCAAGTAACCAGTTTTAGGTGTTAGCGGATATTGTGCATCAAAGCAGATGTATGATCTGTGAATTTTTTCAACAACTCTCCAGTTCTTCATTGTTGTTTCACTAATAATGATACCGTTTTTCGCTCCTGTTAGACCATTTATTTTCTGAATCCAGTTGTTATTATCTACAATTTGGGATTCGGTTCATTTGAGTCTACAGTAATTTCTAATGACAAGCTACTAAAATTTCTTCTAATATGAGCATTAACTAATGCAAACTCTGTAGTGAATCTATTGACACATGATAACTCTTTGATATTTCTTCTATTTAAACTCGTCATTATCGTTATAAAGGTGCAGCAAAATATTTATGAACAGCAAAAATCATTGAATTGCATTATTGCCGAGGCGCTCAAATCGAAACATATAGAATCACTGCTCGAGCTTTTGACCCACAGTTCTAATCCACGAGACAGTGGAGAATTGTTACGAGATGAGGTTCTATGGCAACCGGTGGTCAACAATAGGTTGATTGGCTGTTTCATTTCCTAAGGATCCTGGATCCCATTTGCATCATCGGTGGTTTGGAATGGAAGTTTTCCAACTTCCCTAGATAGATCCTCCGAATCCACAAACTACTCAGTTTAAACGATGGACATTGGCTTTTAGAGCTCTTAGTTTCGTAAACAACACCTCTACTGCGCGAGAGAGCAGTGAGTTGTATTTGTATGGTAGCGGTTGTGAACGCTTGACCATATGAAAGCATCTCAAGAGTGTGAGAGAAGCATCTTCACTCTCAGCCCTACCTGGACATTCGGCAGCCACTTTTATTGTAATAATAATTCACAAGTCAATCAGAAATAGAGATCAAACTCAGGTTATTTTAGACAGAACAGCTCTCTCTCAATTAGAAAACATCAAAATGTTCCTCGGAAAACAGCATTCAAAAAACGTTATCGTTACAAGAAAGGAATTTACATTTATATTGACTTGGAAGCACCGGACGGCCGTTTCGTCCTGGTACGGGACTTATCAGCAGTGCGCATCTACAACTCTTGTACATCGCAGGACTCAAACTCAGGACCCTCGGTCTTGCGCGCTAGCGCCTAACCTCTAGACCACTGAGCCCCGGTATCTGATGGTGTTAATGTCTAACTTCTATCAATTCACGGTCTTGCTCAACTCCATACACTGTCTCCGGTAATTACTGTTTACACCCGAACAGGTTGAACTGCACTGATCATGACTTCCCACTAGAACTCGGAGAAGGTTCCTCACGGAGCTAGTCACTAGTGGTGTTAGGCGTTCGCACGCAAGACAGAAGCTCCTGGGTTCGAATCCTGTGGGGGGCAGGAGTCATGGATGCGCACTGCTACTGATGAGTCCCATACCAGGACGAAACGGCCGTCCAGTGCTTCCACGTTTCCAATGGTGGTCTAACATCGATCGATTCATGATTTCAAATGTGTAACTAACTAATCTTCACAACCCCGTAATGCATTTATACTAACGAAAATAGATTCAGGATATTAGATTTTGTTAGAAAAAATTCAGAAATTTTATGCTATGCATGCTAATGCATGTTTCTATAAGCCATCTTCATATTCATTCATCTTTCAAGTACTTGAATATTTCTGATAGCAATTTATTTAGTCTGTTATGTGAAGATATTGTTTTGGATTTGAAAGCAGGATGTACGTGCATGTTTTTTTGGCTATTTTCATTGTGTATTGTATGATGCTACTAAAATTGTTTGCAATGGCTAAGGTTCATCCATTCTAATCTTCTGAATTCCTCATCACCTTTATCTTTTTCTTTGTAAGTTTATTTCACTGAATTATACTTCTTGAATAATATCTTATCTCCGTTATCGCCAATACTTCTACTAACTCTACTACTATAGGATTTCAATTGACAATTGCGTCTCTGTGCTAATGCGGTATGGCAACCTGAACTTATGTGCTAATGTACGAAGTTCTACGTTCTAACTGACTGACTTGACTCTCACCCACCAAGTTATAGGATTGAACACCGTTTTCTTTACTGTGGTTCTGTCAACCAGGCTGTAGTGTGTATATTAATATGTCGAACCCACAGGGCTTGTTCCAGCCTTTGAGCAATTTAATTAACCCATTCTTCTCGAGTTATTCACATGTCTTTCTACTTTGTCAAATATTCCCTTTTATCTTGGTCGTTTTTATTTGAGTGTGTGAGTGTGTGTGTAAGCATGATTACTTCGCTTATCACATGGCTAGTTTATTTTTATCTGATTATAAATGTGTAGTTGTTTCTCATCGAGTTGAGTCTGCTCACATGCCTTCTCCATTTCGCTTCATTTTGCTTTTACGCTTTTTATTCTCTTGTCTACCTGTGTGGACCGAATCCGTTTTTGGCTTCTTATTACACCGCGGTCACACTAACGGGGTTCGCCACAAAATTCGATATGCAGAAATGGAAGGAAAGATTTATCCTATAGCATATTATCTAGTCGTTCGTACAAATTAAAGTCAGATCTTGGCCCACTGAAAGGTCGTATTACTCAATCGCTTACACCCTTGACAAGTGGACTCAGTCATGTCGGTAGTTGTCGACTACCTGATTGGGGTCCGCGAGATGATAATAATCGATGGTTAGAGACCTTGAATGACATGGCTCAAAATCGTTTGCAATGGTGCCGGTGCATTTATTCTTTGTGTTCTCTCAAACCCTAATCTTCTGGATTCTTTAACCCCTCTAGTTTTGACTTCCTAAACTTTTCTCACTGAATCATATTTCTTGAATATCTTCTCATCCTAACCTCTCCCATTACTCCTAATACCTTAGCTACCTCTACTACTATTGGATTTGAATTGACAAAAATACATCTCTGTGCTGATGTATGGTATGGCAATATGAACTGATGTACTTACGTACGAAGTTCTACGTTGCATCTGACTGACTGACTGACTGACTGACACCCTGAAAATGTGACTCTTTGCCAAAATGCACATTTATACACTAATAGAATGTGACAACTTGAACCAATCTACATTATGTAACTAAACTTCAAAGTTCGCGTATGAACTAACTAACTAACTAACTAACTGAGGCATTTAATAATAAAAGTCAATATCTAAAACTTACTGTTTTGCGGACCAACCACTATTATTACTACTATTATTATTATTATTATTATTATTATTATTATTATTATTATTAATTTTCATCATTCTATCAAAAACAGATTTATTACATCTTTTGGTAACTACGGTTTTACCTGGTATATTAATCCAATCTAATCTATCCGCAACAACAACGACAACAACATCAAATCCAATGGTTTGTACCACTGAATCATCTATGATACAAGATACTACTGATGACAATGTTCTTCATCATCATCATTTGGAAGAACAACAACAACAACAACACCGAGAAGACGAAGACGATGATACTATGGATGATGAATCATTACCAGTTCTATTATCTACCGAGTTCTATACACATTATACATGGTCTAGTTCACCTTTAGAAGCTGCTTTAATGATACGTTGTCTTGCTTGGTTATTAATGCATTGTTTGAAAGAATCTTATCTACCTATTATACGTCCATTAATTTATCCTAAACCATTACAATTAAGAATGGAACAAGAGTTTTCCGATGGTGATGACGATGATGATGATGATGATGATGTTGATGACAGAGTGAAGAGTGATGATCAGAATGCAAAAATGTCCACTGAATTTATTAGAAATACATCATCGGAAATAGTGCAATCTCAACAAGTATGAATGAATGAATGTTGTTGTTGTTGTTTTAAAATTTTTGATTGGTTATTGTGTATTCTATGTGAAATTGTTTTGGATGGTTGGATGGATTCAATGGAAATTACTAATTCATCATTTGTTAAATGGATACTTTCTGCGTTTCTTTTAGAGGTAGTTTAGTAAAAACTAACTCTTATGGACGATGTTGTCTAGGTCACCGACTAATGTCCTAGGTATGACCGAGATTGGGGAGAGTCTTTTCTCTCCTTCTCTTTCTCTCTCTGCCACTGTCAGGCAACTTCTACTCACTGCTTTGTTGTGCTGCAGAGTGGTGTTGTTTACGAAAGTCATAGGACGAAAAGTGAATGTCTAGAGAGGCTTTAACCGCCTAGTTGACGGATCCTCATTTAAAAGAAGTGGTGATTATAGTTTTTAGGTTTCCGTGAGAGTGAACAAATGATTTGTAAACTTATTGTTTGTCACTAATGCTATCATGGGACTGTATCTTCTAATGTTGTTCTGTCGACTTGTGGACTGGAGTTTTAAGTTAAAGGCTCTGTGTATATGGTCCGCTAAGGAAACTACTTTCTTCAGTTTAGGCACCCAAGTAGTATCGCAGCCGACTCACAAATTTAGTGATGTGTGACAAATAGGTGCTCGTTTTTATCAATATATGTGCTTAAATGAACAATATTTCACAACTATTTATTCCTCAAAGGATGGTGTTATTATAATTTGTGGACTACCTTTGGACGAAACCATAGTGACCTTGAGACGAAACTGGTCTACTCACTAGGACCTAAAGAAGAGGGTATATCTATTAGTTTCAGTCAGTCAGTCAGTAACAACGTAGAACTTCGTACGTACAAACATCAGTTCAAGTTGCTATACCACGATAGCACAGAGATACAATTCTCAATTTCAATTCTATAGTGGTAGAAGTAGTAGAAGTATGAGCATTAATCGGAAAGATTAGGGTTCGATGATATTATTATTCAAGGAGTATAATTCAATGAAGTAAATTTGAGAAGAGGAAGATGAAGGTTATGAGGAATTAAGAATACTAGAAATTGAGAGAAGCCAAATAATGGATGCACCTGCGCTATTGCAAACGACTTTGAACCATGTCGTCCAAGGTCTCTAACTATTGGTTGCTATCATCTCGCTAACCGTATACTGGTGTGAAGAATTAGAATTGTAATTCACAGAGTTAGAAGGTTAGGAATTACGGTTAAGAATTTTCATCATCACTCATCGACATGAGCTATCATGCTAAGCAGAGCTTCTATTTAAGTTGATTATCTTGAAATCTGATTGACCCCATCACCATCTCGCCAAGTTAACAATTGATGCTTATAAATTTTTCTTTGTTCTATTTGTTTTTTAGGCTACTCAATTGAAAAATATCTTTGTAGCATTAAGTCATCATTTACCAGCATTGGCAGCTAGTGCTTTAACTACACTAGAAAATGTTACCAATGATTTAAACAATCCAGATGATTTGGAATTGATTCGTTCTACATCTTATCTACACTACTGTCTTTCACAAGTATGCAATCTACCTAGGATAGTATTAATTCGGTATGTGAATTTGTTAAGTAATATATCGTATGCTCTCGATATATATACTTATATATGTATATATATATTAAACCTGTTACCCTTTATTAGAGCCACCGACCAGCTTTCTCCAACCTACTCTGTCCTGCGCCTTCTTTTCCGGTTCTGTTCATTCTTTTGACGTCTGCTTCCAGTTCTTAACATAATGTGTTCTTTGATCTATCTTCTCATCTTTTGTCTTGTTTTCTAATTCTGCTGCTTTGCCGCTATACTGATCTATGGGTGCTGCTTCGATGTTGGGTGGGTTCAGTGGGGCTGGTCGATTCAAGAGTTCTTCGAAGTGCTCTATCTATACTGGCTTCGCAGCTCTTGAAACATTGAAAATCTGTCATTCGATCTGTTGAACTGATTAAATTTTAAGAAATTGGTTGGTATAACAGGCCCACCACTCCTATTTATAAAGTTTATTCTACATTATTCAATGTCACATCTCAACTTTTCATTCTTTGATTTTGTTGTACGTAGTCATCAGTACCTTTGAAATATATGTTAAAACGATGGAGTAAGTAAATACTTGTGATTGCAAACAGATTACAAGGTAAATTGATGTTTGAAAATGTGAACTGTTGTGTCGAGATAGGTTTTTATAAAAATGACATGGAGTTATGCAATCTGTTGGCATCAGTTCGTAAAATCACATTGACTATTGGATTTGTGTGTGTTCAAAGAATACAGACTATCTGATTGGGATCTGTGTAATTATCGTTTTCAATATTTCATGAGTTTGTCCTTCTCTGATAAATAATTTCACTAGTTCTGTTACTCTCTTGTTTGTCATGAAATAATTTTGACTGAGTGTGTTCATCTGGTTCTGGCAACTTACCGTGGTACAGGCTGAGAATCGAGAGTCTGCTCTCTTTCTCTCTTCAAATGTTTTCATATAATCACGCGTGTATAACCATTGAAAGGAAATTCCTACCTACTGCCTTCTCGTGAGAGCAGTGTTGCTTACCGAATCGGGAAGACAAAAAGTCAATGTTTGGAGCTTAAAGCGGGTTGTTGGGTTTGCAGGATCCACCTAGGATAGTTGGGAAACTCTCTGTCCAAACCCAATGGCTTACATAAGCTCCAGTATGGAACGAATGATGTGTAAACAATTTGTTGGTCACTGAATACCATAACACTGCATCTCCTAATATTGCGCTCTACTGCCTTGTGAATTCGACCAGTAGGTCCAAAAGTTTGAGGAGTAGTAATGATCTTTCAAGAGAACCATATGCTTTGGTTTAGTCATCCGGACGATACTTATATGCTCGTCACTTGATATGCTTAAATGCTATTACGAGTTCACCTTACTTGGTAAGCGGAAAGAAGACAATTGATCCACTGACGCGATAGGCTATTCTAATCCATTGTTTCTGGCCCGGTTAACTAGATCAAGAAGTTTTGATAAGGCGTAGAAAGTGTATTCTACAAACACCAGAAAAATACGAGGTCGACGAGCTTATTTATACATCATAGAAATGTCCTTGAGAGAGCCATAAAAATAGCGTATTAAAATAATCAATCAAACAATGACAGTCAAGGATTTTCTTAGTGGGATCTGTAATCTGAAGGTCAGCTGATCAGCCCATGCACGAAAACATAACGAATCCAAAATTAGGACCTTTATCAAGTGAGTTCCGGGCATTCCAACGTCCCCAACAAATATCCCAACCCGAACACATTTAGGTACCCCTTCGTACCACTGTTAATATGTTAATATGAGTCTCATACCAGGGCGAAATGGCCTTCCAGTACTTTCAGGTTTATAATGGTGGTTGATTAATGATTTCAAATGTGTAAAAACACTAATCTCCATAACTCTAAAAGAAAATAAATCAGACTGTAACTCTTCTTGGAGCCGCTCTTGTGCTACTACCGGCTCCAAGCCCGCATAAATGAGGAGGATCGGGTATGGGGTTAGCGAACCCATCCTGTAGAATATTAACTCGCTAAAAAAAGCGAACTGTTGCACCTACTCACCAGGTTCTACATTAACTTTAGCTAACTGGCGTGCTTTGTTTTACACTTAAATTAAGTATTTCCTTTTTTTAATATTCATGTTTGTTTGCTTTTTCCTTATTTCTAGCATTAATTCTATTTATTCACAACATACAATCTATTTACGTTATTTATGGCATTTAATTGAAACTACTCAATGTTCAATTAGATCAACATTATCACATTCAAATTCCAGTATGTATTCAATTTTCAATATTTTGTCTTCAGGTGAATTACCGCCGTGTTTAGTTGAGCTTCAAAGGTTAGTTAATTCATGATAATAAAAATAAGTAAATTATTTATTTATTTTTAAAATTTATTATATATATATATATATATATATGGGCAGACTGGATTCCGTAAGGGTGTCAATTGTGTACCGATCAAATCGCGACACTACGGATCACATTGTGGAACAATCGGTTGTATGGAATTCACCACTCCACAGTAACTTCATTGACTACGAAAAAGCATTTGAACTCGTGGACAGGAGAACACTATGAAGGCTTCTTGGACAGTATGGCGTCCCTGAGAAGATAGTCAGCATCGTACGGAATTCTTATGATGGATGAAACTGCGAAATCGTGTATGGAAGACTGCTAACGGATTCGTTACAAGTGAAGACCGGTGTCAGATAAGGTTGCTTACTCTCACCGTTTCTCTTACTTGTCATGGTTGACTGGAGTATGAAGACGTCAAGATCTGGAGGGAAGCACGGTATACAATGGACAGTTGGGATGCAGCTGGACGATCCAGTCTTCGCAGATAATATAGCTCTTATATCCCACCCACATTAACAAATGCAACTGAAGATGACCGGTGTAGCAGTAGCTTCAGCAGTATTGGCTCTCAACATATACTAGAGGAAAAGTAAGATTTTCCGACACAACACAACATGCACCAACCGAATCACACTTGACGAAGAAGCTTTGGAAGATGTAATAAAAACCTTTACATGTCTAGGCATCCCCATTGATGAGCGAGGTGGATCTGATGCAGATGTGAATGGGCGTATCGACAAAGCAATAACAGTATTTCTACAACTGAAGAACATCTGGAACTCAAAACAACTGTCAACCAACACCGAAATCACAATTTCGAATACAAATGTGTCAAGACAGTTCTACTGTATGGAGCAGAGACTTGGAGAAATACGAAAGTCATTATTCGGAAGATGCACGTGTTTATAATACTTCGGATACGCTGGCTAGACACTGTTGGCAACAACCTACTGTGAGATTGAACAAACCAGATTCCTTCAGCTGAAGAAGAAGAAATCAGGACAAAGCACTGAAAGTGGATAGGACACATATTGAGGAAAGCACCCAACTGAGTCACAAGGCAAGCCCTCACTTGGAATCCATAAGACCAGAGGAAAATATGAAGAGTTAGACATGGGAAGGATTCATCATCGTTAGACCATCATTGAAAACTTCGGAGCATCGGACGACGGTTTCGTCCCGGTATGGGGACTTATCAACAGTGTGCGTCTACGATCTCAAAAGTAGGACCTTCAGTCTTATGCGTGTACACTTAGCCTCTTAACCACTGAACCGGTGGCATCCGATTATGTTAAACATTAACTCCAAGTTTCCAATAATGAATGGTCTAACATTGATCAATTCATGATTTTTAATGAAATCTGAACAAGCTTCACAACCCTCACAAACTACCAACCTATTTATTGATTTTTTTTAATTTTATTTTATTTAAACAGTTATCTTCCATTGATATTTACATTTGCTGATTGTCTACATCATCGTTTATTATGCTTAACTGATTCGGAAATTTGTAATAATGTTTCATCCGAAATGATGAATTTCACCATTGACCACAACAACAACACCAATAATCATCATCAAACTAAACCATTGTCACGATTATTAGGTTGTGGTTTTCATCCTGATGAATTGTTACATGTCGGAGCAAAACTTCGTGATCTTATGCTTGGTCTAATTGATATATCACATCCTGATCAATTGCCGAAACGAATTCATTATAATTTACAACAAACCGATCCATCCAGTGTAGATTTATTAGATCAACCAAATTATGGAGCAGTATTGCGTAGAATAGAACAACGTGTTGAACTTGCAGCTCTTTACAATTCACCTGGTGGTGGTAGTGAGATGTTTATACGGAATAATGCAGAATGGGTAAAGTTATTATTATCATTATTATTATTATTATTATTATTATTATTATTGGTTTTTTTGAATAATTACTTGCCTGTTATGTTCCTGCCTGGGCCTTTCCTGACAGTTCTATCCATTCTTTTTGACGTGTCTCTTTCCAATACTCAGTCGGCATAATGTATTGTTTGGTCTTCCTTTTCTCTTTTGGGTCACAGTTTGGATGCTATCTTTTTTTTATGGCCAGAGTATAACAGTATATGTTGTGAAGCTAGTGTCCAAACTGCGTCCAATGTGTTTCATTGATTCCAAGTACCATCAGGCTGTATCTTTTCACTTGAATAGTCCTCCCAGTCTCCCATAATGTACGAGCATTCCGTTTACCTATATTATTGGTTCCCATGGTTTTCAGAAAGGGCATCAGGCTTATGACTTCCGAAGAACTTCGGATTTCATCATTGGACGTCATAACTCTTCTAAAATGAAGACATTAGAAATGCCAAGACATAGTTTCAATGGTTTGAATTGATTTTTCTGGTTGGCGTTTTTTTAGCGAGTTATCCTGGTTTGGGACGGGCATCAACCCCAGGAGAGCTCCAGGTATAGTTTTTGAATGATTAACTAGTACTTGAGAAAGTCAGGTTAAATAATCATGCTCCTAACTTTTGAAAGTGTGACTTGATCAGAAGTTGGCAAATGAAGAAGCTATTGGATAATAGTCATCAGAAAATTTCCTACAGGATAAATCCATTCATTTTCAAACAATGAGGAATGCATACTGTAGTTGTATATGACTCGATCATACTACTTAACTGGCCAAATTGTAAAAACCATAATGTAGGAAGTATGCGATTCTGTGAATTTAGTGCTTTTGTCTGCATGTTTTATTGTAACCACTAATCTATTTCTCGGCGCATCTGTGTTTTAAGGTGCTGTAATGTTTTATTCATGCCTTTTACCATGTACACCCATTGTACTTGAACAAAATATGTAGACCTAGGATTGCGGCTAATTTTCACTTCAACAACATAATGCATATTAGTTGGTTAAACGAACTAGTTGGGAATTTGTCCTCGATCCAGTTTTTTTTCGGTAGTTTTTACTCGTTCGTAAGATTTCACACTTCCGATCTTCGTGAGACCAACTTTTTCTATCGGATTCTAACCCAATATCTTATCGAAACGTAGTGCTTCTAGTGTTGAGTCAAGATTGGAACTTGGTCGATAGAAGCTTTTCTACGCTAATCAAACAACCAATTAAGCAAGGCGAATCGTGGCACATATATACACCAGTCCAATTTGTTACGCTATGTGTGGTATACCTTTTTTGTACATTAAGTTAACATATGTTAAGGTATACTATTCTTTACACCTTAAACAACTCATGTAAATAGAAGATCATATATGATGTATGAATAATTCAACTCTAGTCCTAGCCATAGCAGCCACTTCGATTTAATGGTCCGGCTTACCTATCGTGATGGTCCAGCCTAGCTATATTGTCTGAAACATAGGTTCCTTCAGGTCCTACCTTACCAGGCAGGTCGATTAGAGGACGCTAAGACTAAAAGCAGTAACTCAAGGTCTGAGTCGTACTACTGACTGTAGAGAGGTATAACAGCATTTAGGGGTTTCCCTCGCACAACCAGCATCCTCAATGATGCTACCTTCTCACAAAGAAAGAAGGGGTTAAAAAAAGATCTACCCTAAAAATGTCACACCTCACCTTAATCCACGGATTTCCATCTCCAACGGTGAGGTGTTTTGAAGAGCGAGGCTGGCACTTCTAAAACGTCCTCTAAAAATGCCTTACGTGACCGGCTACGAGCAGCTGTCCTTTTCGTTCTGCGGTCACGCTCACAGGTCACTCAGATCAACGCTAATCCACCTTCCTTCTCAGGTTCCTCAATAACTAACCTGAAAAGGGACATCTGCATGTAGCTACTAATCCATGAAAGTTGTCGTTTCCCTGTAAAATGTATATGTTAAACGGTTTACATATTCACTATTAATTGTCCCATAATTTTATCATCATATGTAAATCACGTTTTCTGTTTTGTATTCCCGGAATGAGAAAAAATGGTCATCCAGAGGAGTAACACTCAGGCGATATAAGCTCATGCAAGATACTAAACACAACAAGATAACTGTAGTACTTGTTTTTTAAGGAATCTTTTGTGAATATTTCGAATAAGGGATAAGAATGTCGAAAGTGCATATTAGCCCGCATATTTGAAATATTTGTAACCAATACATAATTTGCTTTACTGTTTGTCGGGTAATGTGTTAATATACCATAAATTAATATTTCGGTTCTTTGTTATTATGAAGCTGAAAAGTTTTTTTAAGTGGATGCTGCATTATATCGTTTAGTTTTTTGTTATTACTAACTGAAACTTATTCATCATTAATGTTCACATACACATACATAGATGTGTTTAAAAGTTGTCAATTAAAGCAAATAACACGTAACATGAAACTTGATAGTTCAGCGGTAAAGTAGGTTTGCACTCTGCAGAGAGTATCACTTCCTTCAATAGTGTATGTACACTCAGTGTAAACCTCGTGTACACTACTGTGAGTTAAACAAGGATTTCTTTTAGAGTACTAGTACTAGAAATCCATGAAGTTATTGACGGGTGGACTTAGCCATGTCGGTAATTGTCGACTACCTGGTTGGGATCCGCGAGATGATAATAATCGATGGTTAGAGACCTTGAATGACATGGCTCAAAATCGTTCGCAATGGCCCCGGTGCATTTATTCTTTGTGTTCTCTCAAATCCTAATCTTCCGGGTTCTTCAACCCCTATAGTTTTGTCTTTCTAAACTTTTCTCATTGAATCATAGTTCTTGAATAATATCTTCTAATCCTAACCTCTCCGATTACTTCTAATACCTTTACTACCTCTTCTATTATTAGATTTGAATTGACAATTATATCTCTGTGCTGATGTGGTATGGCGACATGAACTGATCTACTTACGTACGAAGTTCTACGTTGCATCTGACTGACTCTGACTGACTACACTATATCGTTTGGCTATTTCTTATTACCAACTGAAACCTATTCATCAATAATGTTAACATACACATACATAGATGTGTAAACTACACTGGGTGTACACTACCTTGAGTTAAACAAGATTTCTTTTAGAGTACTAGTACTTTTTCAACCACTTAGTGAACTAGACTACCTTATATCTTCTGTATGCTATATTTATTGGTTTTAATATTTATACATTAAGCAAGCACGGGGTACATAACCTTGGCCATACTAAGTATATGTAGTCTACTTTAACTGGATCGCTGAAAATCAAAGGGTCTTAACCATTTATCTATCGCTCAAAATTTATACAGAACTGTGTGTGCGTGTTTGATCTGAAAAAAATGTAATATATTTGCACTCTATGCATATTTTGAATATAATTTGGGTCACACACATATATACACTTGTCAACAAGGCCTTTTATATAAAAATGTGAATAGAAGGTCAATGAAATAAAAGTTCAAATAAGCATATTGTAAAAATAAAGGAAAGAGAGAGAAAATTATCATATAATACAATGAGAATAGAGAAATTGTCACATTACCTTAAACTATACAATGGCCGTGGTAAACTCAAGGTTCGAAATGTATAACGCAGATAAATAAATAAATCACAACATTTTTCACCTCAACTACATCTCTTCTCTCATTGTTCTGTTTAAATATTGATTGGAATCATGAATAAATCATTGTTAGACCACCATTAGAAAAAATCTGGAGGCACCAGATGGACATTTTGTTTTAGTATGAGACTCATCAGTAGTGCGCATCCACAACTCCTGCACCCAGCAGGATTCGCACTGCTGATGTCAGTCAGTCAGCTACAATGTAGAACTTCATACGTATGTACATCAGTTCAAGTTTCCATACCATATTAGCTCAGACAGATGCAATTGTCAATTGAAATCTCATAGTAGTAGATGTAGTAGAAGTGTTAGCAGTAATTGGAGAGATTAGAGTTCGAATATATTACTCAAGAAGTATAATCCAGTGCGGTCAATTTAGAAAAAGAAAGGTAAAGGTGATGAGGTATTCAGAAAACTAGAATTCGAGAGAACACAAAGAACAGATTCATCTGCGCCATTGCACAGATGCACTACTGACAAGTCCCATACTAGTGTAGTGCTTCCACATATATTCCAGTTCGTTTACATCTAACTTGGTTAAGCCCTTTCGATTAATTTATTTAACCAAGCCATAATTTGTATTACAACAATTTATATGTACCATTCGTTCTTATTATTGTCTGGTTTGTATGAGCTCACATGACGTGTCCCACTTGTTATTTGACCTTGTCAACTATTCGCCGCTTTTATTCATGTGTGTCTATTTCGCTTGTCGCATGTCTGTCTTATGTTTGTCTGACTACATATTCTTAGTCACGCTTTATCTTTTGGAGTTGGCTCATCATCCTTATCCAACGCGCCTCGCCTGTTCATTCGCTTCCTTCGCCCATTCGTTCGCATTGTAATCCTAGGAGTTGGCTCACTGGCCTTCTCCAATTCACGTCGCTTCATTCGTTGCTTCATGCGATTCGCTTCAGTCGCTCATTCGCTCGCCAGTGTACACATCACACTAGGACGAAACAGCCGTCGAATGCCTCCAGGTTTCTCCAGTGGTGGTTTAACAATAATTGATTCATAATTTCAATATGTAAAAACAACTATCTCCAACTATTACAACTGTTGATGTGTTTTTTTTTCTTATAATATCTTTTCAGTCTGTCACAGAATTACGTCTTTTATTACATTGTTGGAGTAGTTTATTTCGACGTGTTCAACAATTAGTATTTCAAATCTATGATTGGGATTGTCGTTGTCAACGTCAACAAGATAATAATTTATCATCAACTAATAATCCATCCAATGTTAATTCGACATTTTCAACAACTGATATTGTACATTTACCAATTGGTGGTAGCGTTAGTAGTGGTGGTGGTGCTGCTGCTCTTGGTAAACCACGTATTGGTCAAACATTTTGGTTAAAAGATAATCTAGTGGATTTATTGAATCCTATCATTGCATCTACAACACCATCATCATCGACATCGTCTACTACATCATCACAATTATCATGGTTGATTAATCAAAGCGCTGAGAATAAATTAGCTTTAGCCAGTGCACCATTTGGTTATTTTAGTATTTTAAATCCTGATTTAAATCAAGGTTAGTGATAGATTTGTTGATTGTTGTTATTTGCATTACGGGGTTGTGAAGATTGTTAAGTTATACATTTTGATACCATGGATCGATCAATGTTAGACCACCATTAGAAACCTGGGAGCACTGGACGGCCGTTTCGTCCTGGTATAGGACTCCTCAGCAGTGCGCATCCACGAGTGCTCACTAGTGACTACCTTCGTGAGGGACGTGACCAGTGAAGTTCAACCTGTTCGGGTGTAGATTGTAAATACAGAAGACTGTATGAGGTTGCGCGACTCCGTGAATTGATCAAGTTAGACATTAACACCGTTAGATACCGGCTCAGTGGTCCGAAGGTTAGGCGTTCTCCTACAATACCGAAGGTCCTGGGTTCGAATCCTGCGGGGGGCAGGAGTCGTGGTGTAGTGAACGAGATCACAGGTGGGGCAACCGAATTGTATTTAACGAAAATTACAGAGTTACTCAGTAAAATCGGAAAACCATATCGTAAATTGTTCATTTGCAAAAGATCAGTTCATCCTATCCAACTGGACTGTTACTGTTGCCAAACATCAATCGATTGTCACTATTCATGCGTTTCATACAAATTCCATTGTTTTCTAACTCTTCCTTTCTTGATCTTCCCCCATATTATGCTGCCGGACATTAGGTTTACACTCACGTCATATACTACTTATAAGTAGCTCACACCACAGTGGATGCGCACTGCTGAGGGCTCCGATACCAGGACGAAACGGCCGTCCAGTGATTCCAGGTTTCTAATGGTGGTCTAACATTGATCGATTCAAGGTTTCAAAAATGTGTGACTGTTGTTGTGTTATGTTCAAAATATTTGGAATGCGTCAACAGTACATATACAAATATAGTATTGCGGATTGAATTTAGAAGAAAAAACAGAAATCGAACAAGATTTTATGAATGGTAATGATATGTTTGAATGCTATGATGAGTTCACCATACTCGGTAAATGGGGAACGAAAGGCGATGACTCAGTGATGACACAATAGGCTATTTTAATCCGTTTGTCCCCGGCCCTGTTAACTAGATCAAGAAGTCTTGATAAGGCATAGAGAAGCACGCACAGAGTACGAGGTGTTTAAGCACACAAATCAAGCTTGTTTATACAATGATATAGACGCTTTTGGGAGAGCCACAAAAATAGCGTACTAAAATAATGACAGTAGGTTGGCGCGAAAACATGGAAATTAAAATTTTCAGAATAAAATTACAAAATTAGGACCTTTCCAAGTGAGTTCTGGGGATCTAACGTCTCCAACAGGTAGGTCTTCAGATAGATTGACAGTTAAATGTTACGAGTATATAACTCAAGTCTGGTGTGTGACGCTATTTTTCACTGACAAATTATTGATTCTTTACATCGCTGAACCCTATTGAAAACGTTGTTCATGTACATTTGAATTAAGTAGATCTGCTTTTAGAACTGACCATTTATTCATTCTGACCCTTTCATACCTAAAACGGTTGATTGGAACAGTAATCTTTTCTCCTGAGCTCAAAACTGAGTATATAGATATGTGCCAGATAGATGAGTTACATAATAATTATTTACATTACAATATTATCGGACAATGTTCATAGTCAACATCATTATTTGGTAAATTGATCCATGTTGTAAATCCCTCATCAATAGAAATTATTAGGATATGTATTACGTATTCCTAACCACCTTCTTTCTTGATAGGAGTGCTTACTTATGTAGGAATAAGTTGGACGAAAGCTAGAGGTGACAAAACCAAAACATACCGTTAGACCATGAAACCACTAACTGTTGATTTGTTGCATATGATTAGATGCAGACTATCTGACTGAGGCCCACATGTTAATCGTGATCAGTAGTTGAAAGTTTGCGATGATACAGCGTAGCAATGGCACAGATGCACTTGCTACATATCTTCTTCTCAGTGTTAAGTCTCATCATATATGCCTTTTCCCCTCTGTAATTTCAGGCCATATTTGTGTTGTTCAGCCTGTCCTCACCATTGGTACTATGTTGGTGTTTGACGAAATCTCAGCATGGATAAAAAAGGCTCAACTGGCTTTTGCCAACTTTTGAGATATCCATCTGCCAACCAAAGGACGAGTGTACTGTGCAAAAATTCGCTCTGTCTTACTATACGGGTGTGAAACATGGCCACTAAGGGTATAGGATATTCACAGGTTACTGGTATTAGATCATAGGTTTCTTCGATGAATCGCTCGTATATCCTGGGACAGTCGAGTAAGCAATGCTGGGGTTAGGAAAAGAGTACTAAGTAAGTATGGCAAATCAGTAGATGAAGTAGTGAATCTTCATCAGTTAAAGTGGTTGAGACATGTTACATAAGTCCAACCGCCGACTGCCCCGACGAGCTATGTTTCGTGATGTAGGTGTAGGCTGAAAGAAAGCTGGGGCCGGCCAGATCAAAACATGGTGCAAATCTATGAGGTCAGTGACAACTTGACTGAGCCTTGTTATTAGATGTCGACTACCTGGTTGGGTTCCGCAAGACAATAGTAATCCATGACATGTCTCGACATCATCTGCGATGGCGCAGATGCATCCATTCTTTGTGTTCTCCCAAATTCTAATCTGAATCCTACATCAACTTTATATTTTTCTTACCTGACTTATTTCAATAAATTATACTTCTCGAATCATACCTTCAAACCATAATCTTTCCGAATAATGATCATACTTCTACTACCTCTACCACGATGTTATTTGAATTATTAATTTGGCATGGCAAGTTGAACTGGTGTATCTATGTACGAAGCTCTACATTGTAGCTGACCTACTGAATCTTTGCCATTACCACTAATAATGTTACTACCTCTGCTATTCCCCGATTTTGTCTGACAATTTCATCTGTGTGTGTGTGTGTGTGCGTACCAGCGTGGTATGACAACGTGAACTGATTTACGTTCGTACGTGCGTACATACCAAGTTTTATATCTCAATTGACTGTTTTATAGTGACTGGTCTCTATTTTTTTCTGTTTCTGTATAAAAAAACTAATCTTTAATATTTATTTTTATATTTTTTATTTGTTAATCAGTCGAACTTAATGCATTCGCTTTAACTACTAATCGAGAAGTACGCCAAGTTGTATTATTGAAAAAAATTCCTTTTGTGATACCGTTTGAAAAACGAGTTAAAGTAAGCTCATTGTATGCGTATGTGCATATATATATATATATATATATATATATATATATATGCTTTTGATTACCGGTTATTATGTTGTCATGTTGATTGAAAACAATATGCACACAATACCATTCACACTTATTGAATTTTCCGTAGTTGAAATCATGGACTAATCTGCGGACCCCTTTTGGTCTCGTGTGTTGTTACGTGTGGATAAGGGTAGATGTCACTTTCCGGCTTTCCACGAACATGAAAAGGAATTCGGGTTAAGGTTGTTCTTGACGACTTAGAGGCGTAACCGCAGATCTTAAGGAACAACTGCTTGAGGACGGTCATGGATAACCTTTTTATGAGAGGTTTTTGAAGTGTTAGCTCCGCTCTTCCAAATGGTCTTACCACCGGAGACAGAAATCCGTGAGGTTAGATGATGTATGACATTTTTTAGGTCGATCTTTTCTAACCCCTTCCCTCCTTGTGAGAAGACAGCATCGGCGCAGATACTGGTTGTCCGAGGGGACCACCTTACTGCTGCCACACCCCTCTACAGTCAGCAGTACATCTTCGCCCTCAGACCATAACTAGGTGATTTCATTCTTACGATTTCCCATATATATATATATATATATATATATATATATATATATATATATATAATGTGTTCCCTAGTGACTAACTTCCTGAAGCAGTTACGGACTGAAGGCAATGGGTGAGGTTTCGAAAATAGAATAGAAGTAAATAACTTGATTAATAATAATTTATAGTCACTTACGTTTTTACTTATGCCTGTTACCTATCGAGGAGCATGGTCCGCTGACCAGCATTCTCCAATGTACTCTGTTCTGGGCCTTCTTTTTCAGTTCTTACCGATTGCTGTTATAATTCTTTTGATATCTGCTTCCGATTCTAGGCATATTGTGTTGTTTGGTCTTCCTTTTTTCCTTTGACCTTGAGGGTCGCAAGTGAGGGCTTGTCTTATGACTCGGTTGGGTGCTTTCTGTAATGTGTGTCCTATCCACCTCCGGTGCATTCTCCTAATTTATTCCTCAGTTGGAATCTGGTTTGTTCTCTTCCACAATGGGTTGTTGCTGATGATTTCTGGTCAACGGATCTAGAGTATATTGTGTGCATACGTCTATTAATAAACTCTTGTATCTTGTAAATGATAGTTTTCGTGATTTTCCAAGTTTCCGCCCCATCCATAAGAACTCTCCTGACCTTTGTGTTGAAAATTGTGACTTTGATGTTGCCTTACAGAGAGTTGTTTTAAGTTCCAAATGTACTGCAGTTTTTTGCAAACACATTGTCGCTTATTTGAGAGATTGTTAATCTTGAAGTTTCGAAATTAATCAGTTTCTATTAGCATTCAGAATATCCGAAGCAAATTCGTTTTATATATTTCAATTTAATCACGGTTTAAACAAAATCATGAACTTAACTGCATAATGGTTATTTGCAACAGAAATTTAACAAAGTAGTATACTCTGGCATTAAGTTTATAACTCTGAAGAGTAAACTTTACATTAACAGAAAGAGTACATAGATCAATAAGCAGGAAATTAAACAATACAAGCACCTGGACTACGGCTCTGTATCCTTACACTATAAATGAGACCTGATAAAAACTCTTCGCTATCGAATAAGAACTATATGTCCTACTGATGATATACGAAGTTCTACATTGTAACGGACTGACTGACTGACGATATACTTGAAGATGTGCTAAATACCTTGTGTTATACTTACTTTACTTACTTACGTCAGACACCTTTCATCGAACATAGGCCGACGACCAGCATGCTAAGACTTACTCTGTCCTCGGCCTTCCTTTACAGTTCTGTCTAATGTTTGTTCATTCTTCTCATATTTGTCTCCATTTCTCTCCATGTTATATGCTTTCCGGTCTTCCACAAATACTAAACGGCTGTTTTCATTCCCCATTGAATTATGTGCAATTCAAATAATCATCATTTGGTTTTACTATTCACATTATTTTTTTTTTTCAATTTCAGTTATTTCAAATTCTTATCAATGATAACAATGCATATGATCGTAATCCATTTCGTCAAAGATTTTATGATCAAACAAAACTTTTACTTGTTATACGTCGTACTCATTTATATGAAGATGCATTTGAGAAATTATCTAAAGAAAATGGTAAATATCAATGTGTTTTTATATGGATTTTTACATTTAAGGCAGATGATCTCTCTCATTTTATTGTACGGTTGTGGTGATCACTGTTAGACCGGCATTGAGAAACTTGGACAGAAGCAGAGTGTACTGCCGTTACGTCTCAGCATGGGACTAATCGGTGACAGTGCATATTCGTGACTCTCGCTACTCAAGGGAATCAAATCCAAGGACTTTTGGTCATGTGCGTGGACGTTCAACCTCTAGACCACTGAGCCAACCAACTCAACTGATGAAGTTTCTGCCATCCTTACCTAGTACTCGTTTCCATAATGTTCAAAACACTGTCTTGAGTATTAAATCTGAAGTTCTAGGTTTAGATTTCGTAGTTTGGCCTCATGGTTTTCATCACTAACTGACTTGTCAACCTTTTTTTAACTAACTTCAGAGACTTAAATTAGAAGTTTTGAGCAAAACTTGGAAAGAGCCGATTATACTCATCTTCACTAAACATTCATCACAACGCAGTGACTCACAACAAGTAGCCTTGCATACAATTTGTTTTTAAGAGCAGTCATGCTTTGGTACATTCATTTTTCTATTTCATCGTAGAAATTTATATTGATTTTAGCAATGATTAATTGATGATTTCAACGCGTTAAAACACTAATCTCCATAACTCTAATATAAAAATATCGTAAAATGTGCTCATTAGTGACTAGCTTTATGAGGAAATTTTTGGAGTTTTTAGTGAGAAGATGTGACCAGTGGAGTTCAACCCTGTCGGTTGTAGGCGGTAATTACCCGAAGACAAATGGTTGAGGTCGCGCAAAATCTCTAGATTGATCAGAGTTAGACACTGACACTGTTGGATGTCGACCCAGTGGTTCAGAGGTTAGGCGTTCGCGCACAAGACCGAAGGTCACGGGTTCGAATCCTACGCTGTGCAGGAGTCGTGGATACACACTGCTGATGAGTCCAACACCAGGATGAAACGGCTGTCCAGTACTTCCAACCTTCTATTGGTCACCTAACAATACTTGATTGATGATTTCAATGTGTAGATTATCATTTTTCGTATTTAAAAATTTCCTTTTTTCTTTTACAGAGCCCAATTTACGTTTATTATTAAAAGTGACTTTTTTAAATCCAACTGGTCTAGCTGAAGTCGGTATTGATGGTGGTGGTTTAACTAGAGAATTTCTCACTGAATTAATTCGTACGGGGTTTAATCCAACTAGAGGATTTTTTATTTATGCATCAGATCAAACTACTTTATATCCAAATCCACAAGCAGCTGCAATCACATCGGATTATTTGAAACATTATTATTTTTTGGGTAGAATTTTGGCGAAGGTGAGTTTTTTTTTGATGATTGGAATTTTGACTTGATTATTATTTTTGTTTTGGTTAAATTTAGGAAGCTGGAAGCAATTAGATCATCGTAGTATTTATTGTACTTACTACTCAACAGTGCATATTCATAACCTATGACATCAGGAAATCGTGAACTCAGACCTTTCGGTCGTGCGCGTGTCAGTCAGTCAGTCAGCTACAACGTAGAATGTCATACCTACGTACATCAGTTGAAGTTGCCATACCATATTAGCACAGAGAGATGGAGTTGTCATTTCAAATCCCATAGTAGTGGAGATAGTAGTGTAGTGAACGAGAACACGGGTGGGGCAACCGAATTGTATTTAACGAAAATTACAGAGTTACTCAGTAAAATAGGAAAACCATATCGTAAATCGTTAATTTGCAAAATATCAGTCCATCATGTCGAACTGGACTGTTCCTGTTGCAAAACATCAATCCATTGTCACTATTCATGCGTTTCATACAAATTCCATTGTTTTCTAACTCTTCTTTTCATGATCTTCCCCCATTTTCTGCTGCCAGACATTACGTTTACACTCACGTCATATACTACTTAAAAGTATCTCACACCACAACACCACAGTAGTAGTATTAGCACGAATGGAAAAGAGTAAGGATCGAAGATATGATTCTAGAAGTATGTCCTAGTGAAATAAATTTAAGGAGATAAAAAACGGTCAAGAGGAAGTAAGAAGACTAGAATTTGAGAGAAGACAACGAATGGATTTTGAGCCATGTTATTGAGAGTCTCTAGTCATCGGTTACTATTCTTTCTTGGACCCGAACCAGGTAGTCTACGCTTACCAATATGGCTTAGTCTAGTTGTCAGTGACTTGATGGGCTTGTGTCATGATTTGATTCGTTCGTCGCTAGGATTCCTTCAAGCCTACTGCCTACATCAGACAACATTGCTTGTCGAATTGGTCGCTGGTTTGACATGCGTAACACATGTCCCAACCACCTCGTAAGTATGTTTGCTTAATGAAAGAGATTTGTTAAGAATGTTCTTTATTCATTGTTGAAATCACGAACTGGTCTTAGTTAGACCATCATCATTAGAAACCAGGAAGCACCAGATGGTTGTTAATAACAATCTACTCATTAGTGACTAACTTCAACATGACTATTCCTAGAGTTCTTTCTAATAAGAAGCCATGATCAGTGGAATTCAATCACCTGTGTGGAGTATGAGACAGTGGTGGATGGATGATGAAGCGTTATGCGAGATGACGGATTGATAACAGTTAGACATCGACATGGTTGGATGTTGACTTACTAGTGATCTAGAAGTCAAGTATTGGTGTATGAGATGGAAGTTGGTGGATCCAATTCTCCTCGATGTGACCATTTAGGTCATGTGTTATTATAACGCTATCACACATCGTCAATTCATTGCCAATGCTGAGACTAAGATATTAAAAATATCAAAGTGATCAGTTTATGATATTGTGTTGTGGTATCAAAGAAATCTTAGGAATGGTAGCCGCTATCCATCCTCTTATGACTCCTTGACCAAAGTCTTCGTAATGGTGTTACTCAATTGATTGAGACGCTATGAGACATCTTAAAATAAAAAGAAACCAGTTGCTGTCTTATGTGATTTTATTGAATTGGATTATTTAACTGAACTTACTTACTTACACCTGTTACCCCCAATGGAGCATAGGCCGCCCACCAGTTTTCTCCAACCAACTCTGTCCTGGGCTTCTCTCTCCAGCTCTGTCCAATGTTTGTTCATTACTCTCATATCTTCCACTATTTCTCGGCGTAGTGTGTTCCTTGACCTTCCTCCTTTCCTTTTACCTTGAGGGTTCCATATGAGGGCTTGTCTTGTGACGCAGTTGGGTGCTTTTCACAGTGTGTGTCGTATCCACTTCCACCGCTTCTTCCTGATTTCCTCCCTCACTGGAATATGATTTGTTCTCTCCCACAGTAGGTTGTTGCTGATGGTGTCTGGCCAACGAATCCGAAGTATTTTGCGTAGACAACTGTTAATAAACACTTGTATCTTCTGAATGATGGCTTTCGTAGTTCTCCAAGTTTCCGCTCCATACAGTAGAACTGTCTTGACATTTTTATTGAAAATTATTTAACTGAAACAATCCCTTTATTTGATTGTATTATTTAACTGACTTGTATATCGATATTGGAAGTCAATCCCTAAACCCATTGGCTCATAAGTCTCATCCACAAAGCACACTAGGAAAACGTTTGGAGATGTAGTCTCATGATAGCAGGTTACCAGCCATAAGTTCATACGCCATTGGTTTGGAATGTGGGTTTTCCAACTCACTTAAAGCACTGTATAAAGTCTCTTTTCATCCGCTCATTTTGTTAAACAAAATAACCTCTCTACACGAGAAGGCAATAAGTAGGTTTTTTCTGACAATAGCTCTATATATGCATGACAATATGAGAGCACTTCGAAAGGAAGTATGATTTCTCATCACTCTTCTTGGCCTTATATCAACAGGGGTTCTATAATGTACAATATTTTTTTTCTCTCTGTACACTATTTTGTTGTTAAAAACAATGCTCATATTCATTTATATCAATATCTATCTATCTATCTGCCTAATTATTGTAGGTCATTTATGAAGGTATACTTGTTGAATTACAATTTGCTTATTTCTTTTTGGCAAAAATTGTTAGTCAAAGTACAGGTGGTAGTGTCGGTTTTGATTATTTACAATCACTTGATCCTCAATTGTATAAGTAAGTAATTGTTGTTGTTGTTATTATTATTATTAGTTTTTGTTAATAAATATAAAACGATTGAATTTACACTGGAATTATAATAGGATATACTCAAATATTATGAAATAATATTCTTTTTGATATGAAATTTGATTTGATTGTTTGTGTCAGTCAGTCAGATGCAATGTAGAACTTCGTACGTAAGTACGTCAGTTTTATGTTGTCATACCATATTAGCACGGAGACGCAACTGTCAATTCAAATCCCATACGGGTAGAGATAGTACGAGTACTACTGGTAATAGAGAGGATTAAGGTTCGAAGATATTATTCAAGAAGTGTAATTCAGTGAGATAGGTTTAGAAAGACAAAAGTAGAGGTGTTGAAGAATCCAGAAGATTAGGATTTGAGAGAGCTCAAAGAATGGATGCACTTGCGCCATTGCAAACGATTTTGAGCCATGTCGTTCAAGGTCTCTAACCATTTGTGACGTTCGTCTTTCCGACCCCAACCAGGTAGTCTACATCTACCAACATGACTCAGTCCACTTGTCAGTGACTTCATGCATTTCTGCCATGTTTTGGTCTGGCCGCCCCTAGCTTTCTTCCAACCTACTCCTACACCACAAAACATAGCTCGTCGCGGCAGTCGGTGGTCAGGCATACGTAATACATGTCCCAACCACCTCAACTGATGAAGTTTCACCACTTCATCTATTGATCTGCCATCCTTACCTAGTACTCGTTTCCTACCGACAGCATTGCTTACTCGTCTGTCCCACGATATACGAGCAATGCTTCTTAAACATCTATGATCGAATACTAGTAACCTACGAACATCTTATACTCTTACCGGCCATATTTCGGATCCATATAGTAGAACGGAGCGAACCTTACTGCTGTCACACCCTTCTGCAGTCAGCAGTACGACTTCGCCCTCAGACCTTGAGTAGCTGCTTTTAGTCTCATCGTTCTCCAGTCGACCTGCCTGGCATGGTAGAACTTTCAGGAACATATGTCCCACCCAATGTAGCTCGGTTTGGTCATCACGATGGGCAAGCCCGACCACCACGTCAAGGTAGCAGCTACGGTCGGGCAGTCATTCATCTGCAACATAGAACTCGGTATGTACGTACATCAGTTCAGGTTGCTATACCACATTAGCACAGAGAGATCGGATTGTCAATTCAAATCCCATAGTAGTAGTGGTAATAAAGATATTAACTTGTGTGAATGTTTTAGAATCTAACAAACTGTAAACACCTGGTCTATACATCCACGTCAAAGTCTGAAACCAAACTGTTTTTCTCAGGTTTGCTCTTCAGACCTCCAGTTAGGCGTCAAAGTTTTATTGTTGCTAATATTTTAGACACTATATTAGTTAAACTGATTTCTCTGTGATTTTCACAAGAGGACATTTTCCCTATCTTATAGACCGAAAATTGGTATGATCGAATACTAGTTGCCTGTGAATATCGTCTACCCTTACTGGCCATGTTTCACACCCATATAGTAGTAGGACGGAGCGAACTGCTATGCAGTAGATTCATCCTGTAGTTTGTAAAAGGATATCTCGTCTACGCCATAAGTGACGCAAGTTGGCAAAAGCCAGTTAAGCCTTTTGTATCCGTTCCGAGATTTCGTCAATCACCAGGTCATGAAGACTGATGAACTCCCGAGATAAGTGAAGCGGTCATCACGCTCAATGACCTCACTCCTTATCACTAGGTCAGATGCCGATGCAAGCAACTTTTGCATTTCGAGGGGGCGAATCGCATCCCGAACGTGCTTGCATTGTTGCTTAGAGTGGTCAGAAGTCTCTGCATTTCTTCAGCGTCTTCACCAAACAAATGAATCTCCTGGTAGATGAACTCCTGAAACGTACGATGATGAAAGTTTCGTCTCAAAATGCATTTCATTGACAAAGTTAAATAGGAATGAAGAAAGTGGATAGTCCTAACGAACACTACTTGAAGTAATCATTTTGGATGACAATTCGCCTTAAGCTCTGTCTCGATTAGTAGTGTTTGGGTATAGAGTCTACATAAGGTCAATGTACGTTTTTGGTACACCTCTCAATGACAGAACCTTCCAAAGAACCTCACGATCGACAGAGTCAAACGCCACCTTTAGGTCGAGCAACGTAACAATTATCGGAATTCGGAAAGTGCATCTATTTTTTAGGGACGCTCAACACTTGGTCAAAATTAATGTCGTATAAATCTATTCATTGAATCTATTTATTTCTCAGTATAGGGTTATACAAGTTCGTACGTTTTATTGAAATCGTGAACTGATCAATGTTAGATAACTGTTTAACTTTCGTTCTGGTATCGTAGGAGTCCCTTATTAGTATGGCTGATGCTAATCGCAATGTGGGTTCTAACTGGTATTCAGCAGTGTTGCCTAAAAGTTACTTTCAGAGAAAATAGTATTGTGCGAGCAAAGTTTTTTTGATTGAGAGAAGAAGACAGTCGATCACTCGCTTGTTTTGCTAACGGCAGTCTGAAGATAAGGTGTACACTTGTTGTTATTAAACTATGCCTTCTCTATATACACTACTATTTCATCTGATCTTAGCGTCTTCATTTACTACACTAGGATGAAACGTCCATCTAGTGTTTTCAGATTTTCCATATTAGTTTAACATTGATCAGTTCATTATTCAATTTTTTTAAATTGTTTAAGGTGTTATTATGTGTTTTCTCTTCGTACATTTCTTTTTTCTTTTATTTTACAATAGACAATTATTATTTTTAAAAAATTATGAAGGAAATGTACGTGATTTATCATTAGATTTCACAGTAGTTCAATCAATTTTTGATCAACCTGAAACGATTGAATTAAAACCTGGCGGTAAACATATTCCAGTTACTGAAGAGAATCGTGTAGAATATGTACATTTAATGGCAAATTATAAATTAAATATAATGGTAAGAGATTTTGTTATCTTACTTATTAACAGTTTTTTTTTTAATTGAATTGAGTTGAAAAGATTGGGTTTTTTTCTCATGTTCGAATATATTACGAGCCAATCAGAAATGGCCAAATGTGTGAGGGTCATTAATAATGACCTTCAGAATACTTGTATATTATTCGTCAAGAAATGAGTTTATTGGGGCACAGTTTTGGAGGTTTGCGTTTTTTACACATTTGAAATCATTAATCAATCATCATTGTTAGACCACCATTAGAAACCTGGAAGCACTGGACGGCCGTTTCGTCCTAGTATGGGACTCCTCAGCAGTGCGCATCCACGACTCCTGCTCCTCGCAGGATTCGAACCCGGGACCTTTGGCATTGTAGGCGAACGCCTTACCATCGGACCACTGGGCCGGCATCCAACGGTGTTAATGTCTAACTCTGATTGATCTAGGGATTTTGCGCGACCTCACCCATTTGTCTTTGGTAGTTACTGCCTACACCCGACAGGGTTGAACTCCACTGGTCACGTCTTCTCAACTAGAACTCCGAGAATTTCCTCACGAAGCTAGTCACTAGTGAGCACTGTTACATTATATTGGGGCACAGTTTTGGAGGTTTGCGTTTTTTACACATTTGAAATCATTAATCAATCATCATTGTTAGACCACCATTAGAAACCCGGGTTCGAATCCTGCGAGGAGCAGGAGTCGTGGATGCGCACTGCTGAGGAGTCCCATACTAGGACGAAACGGCCGTCCAGTGCTTCCAGGTTTCTAATGGTGGTCTAACAATGATGATTGATTAATGATTTCAAATGTGTAAAAAAATGAGTTTATTCTCTAAGGGAAAGGGATGGTTATATGATATAAATGAGTATGTATTTAAATATTATTCAGTGGCTGTATAGATTTCCCTTTTCATTCTTCCATAGTTATTCGAGTAGTCAGCGTAGGGTAGGTTAGCGCATAGCATGTTTAAATTTGGGACACCGCACATCATCTCATATTCAATCTTTAGTGAGTAAGAAGCACACCACCTACAAATTAAGGCGTTTTGTTTTCTGCAAAACTACTATCATATTCAGATAAATGGTCACTTCAAGATGCTTATAAGCATCTAGTGAGTTGTGAATGACAGATTTCAAAATACGTTGTAAGTAGAACAATTGTCACGAATTTGTATTATCTGATCGTTGAAATACACCACGAAGTAATTGTAGTTAGGAATTGCAATAGTATTGAGAGCTGATCCAGCGATTCTAATAGTATAGTGTTCGTAACTAAACGTGAAAGTCTTAGGTTTGATTCATGGTAGCTTTGTTGGCGTGTATACACTTCAAAACAGTTCTCTACTAAAATAAATTAAGTGTTCAGAATAATTTGGTTTTCATTGATGGTAACCTAATCATGATCAACATTTAGTGAGATGCTGTTTCATTCAGTTGACCAAAAAAATTGGTATAAAGTCGCAATTTACTTTTCATTCTCTCCATTTGGTAAACAACACCTGTACTGCACTAAAATGTAAGGCGTAGCACTTGCCTGATAATGGTTATATGCGCTTCGCCATATGAGAGTGTTCGGAAAAGAGGAGTCGACTTTTTCTACTGTCAGCCTTACCAGGGTGTTTAGTAGTGATATGTTAGTTAGTCACTGGTTAGTTGGTGTTATCGCTGAATTGTTGAAGATGGACGGAGCTTTATTTGCCTGGAAATTCAGATGTAAGACAATTATGCCGTAATAATATCAGATAAAGATCATTGAATTGTTGGAGTTGAACTCGTTGTGGTGTGCTTTTTTGCTCGATCTCCTCGTATATTAGATTTAAACATTTTTGCAGCGACTATGTTTTCATACCAGGTTTGAGTAGTCCTTGTTAAAACCTACAACGGACAAATTCTTATATTGACGCTGATTTCAGTTCATCATGTATAGAATAACTTAGAATATTTGTACACAACTTTCCATAATACCATTGTTAGTGGTGGATCTTGTTCACAGACTGGTTATCGAAGTACTATGCAACAGAGTAGTGTCGCGTAGAAGTTGCTATCAGAGAGGAGCAGGCGAAGGAGTATCCAAAGATCGAAATGCATATCGAGATGAGACTACATTGAAAACTAGAATAAAGACATGGGAGAAGACAGTCAGAAGCTTGCTTGTATTGTAAATGCATGTCTGAACATTATCTGTTCATATTTTGTAAATAAACTGTCTTCTCTAGAGTGAAAATTAGTTAGATGCGTATTATTATAAATGTTTAGTCAAATATCTTTCTCTCATTTATTCTCTCGACAAGTTAGTTATGTTAAATGAAATAAGAGTAGTAATTTACATTTGATTGATCCAGTGACAAATATTATTCTTGTCTAGTTCTTCTTCTATCTGAAGTTTGTGCTGATGATGCTACTGTTACCGAAGAACAATGAAAGTTCCACAATCAAACCATCTAGTTTAGAAAAATGAAACTTCACCAGAACTATTTTGAAATGTTAGCTGGTTGACGTTGATCAGAATAAAAGGCTCGAACTGAATTTCATTGAAATTGTGATCGATCATTGTTAGACCAGAATTAGAAATCTGGAAGCACTAGATAGCTGTTTCGTCCTATAGTATGGGACTCATCAGCAGTGTGCATCTACGACCTACACCCGCAGGAATCGAACCGAGGACCTTCATTCTGACGCGCGAAGGATAAACCTGTAGACTACTGAGCCCGGGTGGATGAACACTGCTGATGAGTCCCATAATAAAGGACGAAACGGCTGTCCAGTGCTTCTAAGTTTCTAGTGTTGATCTGACAATCATCGATTCACAATTTCAATGAAACACATTATTTTATTTTTTTCAGCATTCATACAATAGTGTTGTCAGTGTTGTTGTGTTTTTCCTTCCAACATTAAGATTTATCCACAGGTACGAGCTTTCACAGCTGGATTAAATGATGTTATACCGATTGATTGGTTGCGTCTTTTCGATGCAGAAGGCTTACAAACTCTTATATCTGGTGCAGATATGGTGATTGATGTGGATGATTTAAAAAAGCATACATACTATTTTGGAAGTAGGTTTTTTCTTGTGTAATTAAAGTGTTTGTTTTTTGTTTCTTTTTCTATGTACTGTATGTGTATTTGTGTGCAATGGTTGGTCGGTTGTTTGAAATTCTGTAGGAACACGATGGTATCACGCCAAGGTCAACGCTGCCACGAAGAGAGAGTGAGAGAGAGGAAGAGTAATAGTCGCAATTAGAAACATTATACTATTGTGGTGTGAGCTACTTATAAGTAGTATATGACGTGAGTGTCAACGTAATGTCTGGCAGCAGAAGATGGGGGAAGATCAAGAAAGGAAGAGTTAGAACACAAAGGAATTTGTATGAGACGCATGAATAGTGACAATGGATTGATGTTTTGCAACAGGAGTAGTCCAGTTCAATATGATGAACTGATATTTTGCAAATGAACGATTTACGATATGGTTTTCCGATTTTACTGAGTAACTCAGCCGCAACATAGAACTTGGCGCGCATGTGCATCAGTTCTAATTGCCTTACCACATTACCATACACAGAGAGATGGAATTGTCTATTGAAATACCACAGTAGTAGAGGTAGTAAAAGTATTAGCAGTAATCGGAGAGATTAGAGATCGAAGATAAAAATAATACGAAAGACCAAACATTGAGAATGTACTTTACGATAGGATGAAGAAATATATAAGACGAGAGTATACAGTACAAATGTGCCAGCGTCGCCGATCCCTCTCTTTCATTTTGACCAATATTAAACTATGTGTTACCAGTGATCTTCAACCATTGATTAAAACAATACTTTAAACTTACATGATTTGATGCATTCAAGTAAAATTATTCTTTGAATAGAAAAGTTCTACCTGAAGTTTGTGCTGATAGTGATGCTTTTGTTCAGACGAACAATAAAAAACTCCACAACCAAGTCATCCATCTCAGTGACCCGAAACTCTATCATGAGGTTTCTTACTATCTCATCTTGAAGTGAAGTATATCACTCATTTGTGTATCGGTAGTGATCTTCGGAGTTGATCAGCTCGGTAAAGGTCATTCCAGAGAGTATGAATGAATTGTCGGCTCACGATTGTTTGTTTTTTTAGTGTGCATAAGTGTAACAGTCTTTGTTGCTGTTGCTTATAGTCAGTCAGTCAGCTACAATGTAAAACTTCCTACGTACGTACATCAGTTTAAGTTGATATACCACGATAGCAGCGCCCCGTTTATATCGGGAATGAAGATTTTCATCCTTTCTAAGATGTTTGAATCCTCACATTGTTCATGTCAACGAATGTAATTGATCTGACTATTTTTTGGCATATGGTACACCTTGCATGGATTATTACATTAAAGTAGAGTTTTGATTTGAAGTGAATGGCACCCAATTTTGAATCCTAGTGTGCGAATCCTAGTTTGCAGATATATCCAGCTGATATGTTCGAAACAGAACGAAATACGCGTTCTAGGGTTCCACTATTAGCCAATACCAAAAATTTTCTTAGAAATATTTGCTTAAAATTTTAATTAATGTCATTAATCACTTGCATGAATAGAATTTAATTACTCAGTAATGAAGAAGTGTGGGAAATTCAACAACTACCAGACCAGCTGTTTCATTAGTTATGATTTGTTGAGAAAATTTTCATTAATATGATGAAATTTTCACGTAAAATTCAACACTCAACTAGTCATTCTATGTATTCATCAATAAAAAATTAGGTATACATGTCTGACCGGCCTTTTTATACAAGATGACCAGATAAAAATACAGATAAGAATGATTAGTTACTTGTCAGTAGTATGATTGCACAACATGAAAAATCTAAGTTTGTCAACAAATTAAAGAAAAGAGAGCTGAAAGTACTACATTCTATCTATATCTGTATACTGCATCAAAATGAAACATCAAACTATTCCTTACAAATTTATTAATGATCAGCTTATCAGAGTGGTAAATACTACTTAAAAATTCAATTATCAGTAACACTTTTAAAACAATACCAAATAATAGAATTGTACGATTTTCAGAAAACAGAATCATTGAAAATGAAATAACCGGTCAAATTATCATATACTAATGGCCTTGAGTTAACCAATCACGATTAGGAGAATACTTCATGGACTTCTACCGGAAACAGATAACAAATCCATGACGTCTTTGTCAACTAGACTGAGCCATGTTATTAGGTGTAGACTACTACTTGATTTGGGATCGGAGAGACACTCGTTACCAATGGTTAGAGACGACTTTGAATGACATGGCTGAAAATCATTTACAAAATAGTACAGATACATCCATTCTTCATTTTCTCAAATTCTTTCCTTCATAATTCCTTATGAACCTTTTTCACTTTTCAAATTTATTTCATTGGATTTTACTTGTTGAATCATATGCTCGATCCTAAATCTTTTCCATCACAGCTAATACTTTACTACTATGGGATTTGAACTGACAATTGCATATATCTTTGTGCTAATGTGGTATGCCAAGTTCTACATTATAACTGACTAGAGCTGACTGACTTACTATATCATGTCTATAATATAATTACACATTTTTAAAACCATGAATCGATCAGTGTTAGACCACTATTAGAAACCTGGAAGCACTGAACGGCCGTTTCGTCCTGGTATGGGACTCCTCAGCAGTGCGCATCCACGAATCCCGCACCCCGCAGGATTTCAAAAATGTGTAACTTAACAATCTTCACAACCCCGTAATGCAAATTACCTGTGCTCACTAGTGACTAGCTTCGTGAGGAATCTTCTCCGAGTTCTAGTGGGAAGACGTGACCAGTGAAGTCCAACCTGTTCGGGTGTAGGCAGTGTCTACCGAAGACTGTGAATGAGGTTGCGCAACTCCGTGAATTTGATCAAGTTAGACATTAACACCGTTGGATACCGGCTCAGTTGTCTGACGGTTAGGGCGTTCGCGCACAATACCGAAGGTCCTGGGTTCGAATCCTGTCCTATATATATATATATATACATATATTTCAAAAAAGTGTAACTTAACAATCTTCACAATCCCGTAATGTATAATATAACTACTAATTTTGTACTTATTTTCATCCTTTTCCTTTTGTGACAAGTTTAATCTTGTCCTAAACTGTCCTTGTTTCAAGTTTCTTTGTTCAAAGGTCACCTCTGTTTCTACTGGTCAGTGATATTACATGTTATACCTCTCTTATAGTAAACCCAGATTATATTCCAAATAGCAAGGTTAATTGAAAGTAAGAAGTCGAAGCGAAGACGAAATAGGAACAACGTTAGTTAGTATCTTTATAGTTTTTTTTTACATGCAAAGCTTCTAGAATGTTCTCCAAGTATCGACTAGCGCTGATTGGTTAATATTTAGCCAATCAGCGTGCAGCTCACGCACTCATGCATTAATCCATTTATGTGTTGTATTGAATGAAATTCTTGTTTTGTTTTTTTTTGCGTTATTATTGTTCTACTTCTTTCTTTTTTCTATTATTCACTTTTCTTTTTCTTTTAGATTCATCAACTTATACAGAAACATTAAATAGTTTTTGGTCTGTATTAAAAAATTTCTCTGAATCAAATAAACGTTTATTTTTAAGATTTGTCACGGCTTGTTCACGTCCACCAATGTTTGGTTTTAGTGAATTACAACCACCATTTTCTATACAAATTACTGAAGAAATTGAACGTTTACCAACAGCTAGTACATGTACTAATTTATTACGTTTACCAAATTTTCGTGATGAAAAATTATTACATGATCGTTTATTGTATGCATTGAATGCGAATGCTGGTTTTGAATATGGTTAAGTGTGCGCATAATCTCTCTCTGTCTCTCTCTGTATCTTGCTGTGTGTGTGTGTGTATGTGTATATTTATGGCGATGATTATTTTTTTTTCCAGTGATATTTTTTTCTCTTTTGAATCTTATACTACTTATTATTACTACTTGAAGTCTACAATATAAAACCTGAGGATTTATTTCCAACGTAAATAAACCACTGTCCTACTACTATTACTACTAATATTGTATACTTGAGTGATAAACATTTTCCATTATAATCATTGAATTAAAAGTACAATACAATAAATATCGCTTTTTTTTTAAATATGTATTTTATTTTTTTCGCGATAGAGTTGTGAAGATTTAAGCAACAATGCAAGCATGTTCGGGATGGGGTTTTCCACCTCGAAATGAAAAATGTTGCTTCAAGATTGGGTTGCATCGGCACGTGAACTAGTGATAGGGAGTGAAGTAGTCGAAAGTGTAGACCGCTTCACTTATCTGGGGAGTCTGATCAGAGTTGATGGTCTGTTGACTGACGAAATCTCAGCTCGGATACAGAAGGCTCGATTGGCTTTTGCCAACCTGCTTCACTTATGGCGTAGGCGAGATATCTGTTTGCTGACTAAAGGACGAGTGTACTGTGCAGTAGTTCGCTCCGTCTTACTTTATGGCTGTGAAACATGGCCAGTGAGAGTAGAAGATATTCGTAGGTTGCTGGTTTTCAATCATAGGTGTCTTCGAAGCATTGCTCGTATATCCTGGGACACCTAAGTGAGCAACGCCGTTATTAGGAAACGGGTGCTAGGTAAGGATGACAGGTCAATAGATGAAGTAACGAAACTTCATCAATGGAGGTGGTTGGGACATGTGCTACGAATGCCCAAATACCGACTGCCTCAACCAGCTATGTTTTGTGGTGTAGGGGTAGGTTGGAAGAAAGCTAGGGACGGCCAGACCAAAACATGGCACAAATCCATAAAGTCAATGACAAGTGAACTGAGTCATATTAGTAGGCGTAGACTATCTAGTTGGAGTTGCTCAGATGATAATAACCGATGGTTAGATACGTTGAACGACATGACTCAAAGTCGTTTCATATGGAGCAGATATATCCATCCCTTGTGTTCTCTCAAATTCTAATCTGCATTCCTCTTAATCTCTACCTTTCTCCTTGTAAATTTATCTTACTGAATTACACTTCTCGAATCATATCTTCGCTCCCTAATCTTCTCCATTACTTTTAATACTTCTATTATTGCTATCACTCTTGGATTTGAACTGACAGCTGTGTCTCTGTGCTGACGTGGTATGGCAACCTGAACTGATGTACTTCTGTACGAAGTTCTGCGTTGTATCTGTCTGTTGTGAAGATTGTTGTGTTTCATTGAAATCATGAATTGATCAGTGTGTTAGAGTACTGTTGAAAGAAGCCTAGAAGCACTAAATGGTCATGGGTTGATCCTCACGTGAATGCGCACTACTGCAGAGTCACATGGTAGGATGAGGTGGCCATCCAGTGCTCCCAGGTTTCTCAGTGAGTGGTCGAACATTGATCGATTCATGATTTCAAATGAGACTGAACTATCCCTACAATCCTGTCGGGTGTGAAGCAGTACCCACTGAAGACAGTGGATTAGGTTGCGCAAGACTGTGGGTTGATCAAAATTATACATTAACACTGTTGGATGCCGGCGTATTTGTCCAGAAGTTAAGCGTTTTGCGCACGAAAACGAAGGTCTTTGGTTTGGTACCCGCGAGCGGGGGTTGTGGATGCACACATGCATTTTAATAAAATGCTTTGTGTAATTCAAAAATATAATAATAATCCCGTCATTATATATTAGCCGTTATTGTATGTAGTAGTAGCATACTTACTATTTACGCACTCCTGTTTCCCCCAAGTGGAATATAGGTCGCCAACGAGCGAAATCATATCAAAAATATCGGACTTCTAACTTCCGAAGGAACCCGACTTTCATCTTGAGTCGTCACAACTCTTCGAAATGGAAGAGTTTCCAACTTCTAGGGCAGATTTTGAATAATATGTTCTCATTCGCGAGTCGGTTTTTTAGGGGACAGGGTCGCTAACCCCATGCTCGGCCCTCCTCCTCTATCCGGGCTCGGATCCGGCAATAATCTGAGCGTCAGTAGTAGCATAGAAATGATTAGATCATTCAAGAATTGATAATTATTAATTAGCTGTAGATTGATTCCCGCTCTATAATTTTCATCTGCTATGTTGAATGCTGTCCTAGATCTCAAGATGATACATATCGAAACCCCCCCCACAAACTCTGGCTATCTGGGCGAGGACTGGAGATAAAGTTTAAGTGAAGTGCAATAATAGAATTTCTCAATGTATGACTCGTAGCTTGTCCTGTTGATCTCAGTCGCGATTAATTAATCGAAATGTAAGGTCATGAGGAATTTAGAAGACTAGAATTTGAGCGAACACAAGGTATGGATATATCTGCGCCATAGGAAAGGTTTTTGAGCCATGTCGTTCAAAGTCTCTAACCATCGGTTATTATCATCTCGCGAACTCCAACTAGATAGTCTACGCCTACTAATATGACTCAGTCCACTTGTCAGTGACTTCATGTGCCATGTTCTGGTTTGAGTGTCTCGAGCTTTCTTCCAGCCTATCCCTACATCACGAAACATCGCTCGTCGGGGCAATCGGCGGTTGAGCATACGTAATATATGTCTCAATCACCTCAACTGATGAAGTTTCATTACTTCATGTATTGATTTGCCATACTTACTTAGTACTCTTTTTCTTACCTCAGCATTGCTTACTCGACTGTCCCAGGGTATACGAGCGATTCTTCGACAACACCTATGATCAAATACTAGTAACCTGTGAATATCCTCCACCCTTAATGACCATGTTTCACACCCGTATAGTAGGACAGAGAGAACTTTTGCGCGGTGCACTCGTCCTTTGGTTAACATACGGATATCTCGCCCAAGCCAGTTGAACCTTTAGCCTCCGAGCTGAGATTTCGTCAAACACCAACATAGTATCTATGTTGATGACAGGCTGAACAACAGAAATATGGCCCAAAATTACAGAGGGGATTAGGCATATATCATGAGACTTAAGACTGAGAGGAAGATATGTAGCGAGTGCATCTATGTCATTACGGACAATGCTACGCTTTATCACCGAAAACATCCAACCACTGATCGCGATTAACATATGAACCTCAGTCAGGTAGTTTGCATCTAATCATATGGAACAAATCAACAGTTATTGGTTTTATGGTCTAACGGTATGTATTGCTTTGGTCACCTCTAGCTTTCGTCCAACTTATTACTACATAAGCAAGCACTCCTTTCAAGATAGGAGGTGGTTAGGAATACGTAACACATGTCCTAATAACTTCGATAGATAAAGGATTTACAACATGGACCAATTTACCAAACAAGGGTGTTGAATATGACCATTGTAATGGTGATAATTATTATGTAACTCGTTTACCTATCACATGTCTATATACTCAGTTTTGAGCTCAAGAGGAAAGGTTACTGTTTCTATGAACCGTTCTAGGGATGGTTAGTTCTAAAAGGAGAACTACTTAATTCAAATCTACATGAAAGACGTTTTCAATAGGGATCAGCGATGTAAAGAATCAATATTTTGTTATCAAAAGGTATGAGGAGGATTCAAAGCACACATTTACTGATCAGTTCAACGGTACTGGATAACCAAGCCAAATTAGTGTCACATGTATAATGGGATAATAATAGATGAATGTTTTCATGTGATAAAATAAGTTTCTATTTTACTAAATTTGCCCTTTGAAGTTATCATTATACGTCTGTTGGGGATGTTAGATCCCCGAAACTCGCTTGATAAATGCCTTATTTTGGATTTCACGTTTGCGAACATGAGCTGATCAGTTGACCTCGGGAGTTCATTTCCCACCAGAAAAATCCTTGGCTGTGATTGGCTGCTGTGTATTTTAGTGTGCTATTTTATGTGACTGTCCCAAGGACGTTTCTATGATGTATAAATAAACGAGAGTTGTATGCTTGATTGTACTGTGATTGCTGGGTGTTTGTAGAATATATTTTCAACGCTTACAAAGCCTTTTCACTTCAGCTTGAAATTCAAGGTAGCCTACCTGGACACTGGTAATTGTCTCATTCTCGTTTATCGACTAAGGTAAACTCGTAAAAGCCTCAAGCATACTTAGTGACGAACATAACAACGTCTTACCAGTTGGGAGATGATTTTATCTCCCCCTCTGATCCTATGTATAATTTCTCCAAAAGCTACATCTAGACAGGGAATACAGTTGATAGGAAGTTGTCTTTGAATGTCTGTAGACTGTATTACAGTTTTCGGAAATCCATCAACAAACAAGTTATCGTTCTGACAACTCTGATAGTTAGAAGTCATCAGTTCAACAACTAAATTGTCCGGAACAATTAAGTCGTTTCGAATAAATGTGCTTGCCTGACATCTACGAATTAAATATATACGGTTAGATGTGGGTACCTATTTTTAATGCAACTTGATTCATTCACATATCATCATAGCTAATATATTTTAAAATGAAGTCTTTCTTTAAAAAGCGGATAAATAGATAATTCGCCTTTCATCAACCCCACAGGAATCCAAGAAAAACAGTCCTGAAACTAGATCAAGGTATCTAAATAACAAATAATAAAACCGATCGACTTATGCACGCTCATTGGGAAGCAACCCAGATCAGACGTAACAGCACCACTTGAGAAATTGGTGCTTTTTTGTTATCAGTGCTATTCATAATACGATTATTAAAGTTTTTGAAATTCAGATATTAAATCAATAAACTTGACTTATAAATATCATTTTCTGTCAGTTGACCTAGATCTAACTTACTAGTGATGAACTTAGTTTAAACAATAATATACTGACGACCTTGAGTGGCCTTTCAGCCAATCACGAAATGGTGCAATAAAATACGAATGGAATCACAACTATGATCTGATACAGTCAACTCTCACGTGTTGAATTATTACTTGTAGTTGGAGGAAATGGTTAAGTTTACCTATTCGGTGTGGACGATTAATGTTAGGGTTTTCATTGCATAGAGTTTCGGTCATCAACTAAGATCGGCTATAATGTAAAAAGTCTAGGGCAGTAGATTTAAAGTTCTGAGTTTGGATTTTCAAATTAGGGTTTGAAGTTTTCATCACCTATGATGTAATGCTTTCTCAACCTTGCGTTTAAAAAACTTAAGAGACTTTTAGTTGAGTTTGAGAGTAAGAGTCAGAAGGGGTTCTAGATTCGCTGAACACTCTCGACTGTGCATTCACCCACAACCAGCACAATCTGTAGTAAGAGCAGTAATGTTTTTTAAATTAGTTTAAGCACCAACTCACATTCACTATTCGATTTCATCATAGAAATTTCTATTGATTTTATAGATGAAATACTGTCACTTCTTACATCGTTAATAATAGTATAAAAGTAAGTTATCTATTTCGGGTAAAAGTCCGTGAAGTATTATCCTAATCATGATTGGTTAACTCAAGGCCATTAGTAAATGATAATTTGACCGGTTATTTTATTTGCAATGATTCCGTTTCCTAAAAATTGGACAATTCTATCCTTTGGTATTGTTTTAAAAGAGTGTTGATGATAATTTTAATTTTTAAGTAGTATTTATCAGTTTGACGAGCTTATCATTATTAAATTTGTAAGGAATAGTTAGATGTTTTAGTTTGATGCAGTACACAGCTATGGATAGAATGAAGTAGTTTCAGCTCTCACTGCAAGCGTTTAGTCATCAGACTAACAAGCTTAGCACTTAATGATGCATATATCTAACTTCAGTCAGTTGTCAGCACCATTCAATTCTCTTGATGAACCTCATCCAGGATAATTATCTCACCTGAACATCCTTCATCAAAATTGTATTCGTTAGTGATTTTTTTCAGGTAATACC